TGAGAAAGCACAGACATGGCTAGACCCTCCTAGTGAATGTTAGCCCTGTGGAGATTGGTCTTGTTTGCTACTAGCCAAAATCCACAGGCTCTTTGGAGAAAACATGTGTGGATAATTTCAAGTTGTGCTTTTGGACTTGGAGGAAGTATCCGTGTACGCACTGGCTTTACCTCTCTGTGTTCCAGGTGACATCCTTCTGCCTGCTAACACCATGATGCAAAGCCCTCTAGTTAATGGGAGCTTGTTTGGGATACTAGGTTTTGGGGCTGTGCTTAGCAGCACTCCCTATGTTCAAGCAGAGCTGCTGTGAGGTAACTGGAGCCCCAGATCAAGGGTTTCGTGATCAAGATACAGAAGCTGTTTTTGTTTGTTTTGGATGAAGCTGGTGGCAGAGGAAATTTGGGTTAATGATGTCCATTTCCTGCTGCAGAACAGACTGCTGCTCCGCAGGGTCCGAGCTCTCTATGATTGCACCGCAGACCGGGAAGATGAGCTAACTTTCCGTACAGGCGAGATCATTGTGGTGTCTGAAAAGGAGGACAGCAACTGGTGGGTGAGTGAACCTGCATGTGCGGAATGGCTCTGGGATTTGCATCTGATTGTCTACCCTCCCCATCCATCTCTGGCCTCTATCTCATATATATTGCACCAATTGTTACCCCCCTGTTCTGCCTTCCATCTTCCGTCTTTTCCTTGGCACACACTCCTAGCTGTACCTGGGCAACCTGTCCCCTGTGCAAAAACTACCTCCCACTGTTTCTGTCTTCCACAGTCTGGATGGATGGCACTCTCGCACTCTCCTTGCCTCCCATTGCTCATGGCCTGGCCATTCTCCCCACCCAAGGCAGCTTGTTTGCCTACCCCAGCCACCCTCTTCAGGGGCATTGGATACCATTTGTGGTCTATTTTTGGCTTTCTCCAAGGAAGGTGGGTCCTCAGCCCTAACATTGACAGCTGGTGAGCTTCCAGGAGTGGTCTCAATGCTGTGTGCGGGCACATCTTATATGAGGGAAAACAGGCCCAACTCTTTTAGTCTTTCCTCATATGAGAGATGCTCCAGTTCCTTAATCAGAGATCTTTCTTGTTCTCTGCTGGAGCTCTACCCTCCACTGCTCTCCACTCACTCCTTCTCTTCTTTCAGTAGCCACAGCGTCCTGCTGGGCACTCAGATTCAGTCCTGTTACCTGCTGCTCTGGTTTATTTCTGACTATGATGCTCAAGAGATTCTGCAATTGCTTTAGTCATCTATGGCTCCATAGGGCAAGAATAACCTCTAAAGACAGAGCATGCAGCAAACTAGACACCTGACTCATTCAGATGGTGCGGAGCGGGCCTCCAGTCCTAGCTTCCATCCTGTCCACCCTGTATCAAAGTTGCATGCAGAACTGTCTTGCCAGGCCCTTACTGAAGAGTAATTGGTCGCAGAACTGAGGATCTCTGAACATTTTCCTTTGCAGAACTGTTGGACCCACCTTGATGGAAACCTGACTCATATGAGGCTAAGTGTTTGTCTTGATATTCCTGCCTTGAGGCTGGGCTATTTGAGCAAATAGATGCAGCTGTTTTTGGCTAGTTTCATTGGTCTTTCAAGCCTTGTGTCATATTCACAGCTTCTTTTCTTTCCTTTCTCCCTACAGAAAGGGTGGATTGAAGGACAGCCTCATAGATGCGGTGTCTTCCCGGCTTCGTTTGTTCATGTTCTCAATGAATAGGAGCTGCTTCAAGTCAGGAGAAAAGATCTATCAGATGCATAAAATGCAACTTTCCCACATCCCGTCTGCAGAGGGCTCCCAGGGACAAGAAAGCTGGGAGCATTGGCCCACTCCAACCTGCCTCCTTCTTGCCTGCTGCCCCATATGCCCATTCTTCTCCATGGACTGCATGCAATTCCAGACTGTCACAGAAGATGCCCCTCTCACCAGCAGCGCTGACCAGGGCCCAACACTCCACATAATATCAATTTAAACGGTGCTAGGGCCTTAAGGACTTGCCTGTGTGTGTGATGGCTGCTAGCAAACTTGGGATAGCTAACAGGAGAGCTTGAAGCAAGCTGTGTTCTCCACAGCCATGTTCCAGGTCTCAGCCTCTCAGCCCAGCCAGCACCACCACCTGAACTCATCCACATCCCCATGCAGGACATAGCCCTCCTAGGCTCTGCTGTTACTCTGAACTTGTGTCACCTGCCTCCATATTGATCTGCAAGGCAAATAAACACCCATTTCCTCCCTCACCATGTCAATGCTGTGCGTCCTGCAGTGCTCCTCTGTTCTGATGGTTCTAATGGAAATACAGCGGAGCAGAGTCATGCCACTGCCAAGCAGCCCATCTTGAAACCCTCTTGTAACCTCTGAGAAATACTCCTGGGGGGAAGCAACCTTGCTGGGGACAGTGTTAGCAGCTCCACGGTGGGCAAATGCAAGTGAGTCCTCTGGAGTCCACACCACTTAGCGTTTGTGCTGTCCTTGATTTCTCACACCTAGGTTTGACAGTGCTCCAGAAAATGTGCTCTGTAACACCTCAGGGAAATGGTCCGTCAGTGCCTAGGCTTGGAGGACAGCTGCAGAGGCTCCCTGGGCCGTCCTTAATAAATATTAGCTCTTCGGCGCTGTGTGCTTTGCAGGACTGTTCTAGTTTGTGTTTGCAGCCTCCTTCATATTTGCCACTCTCTTTCAAGCTTAAAGCACCAAACCTAATCTCAGACATTAGAGTGAGTACACCAACACCAACAGGTCCAACCTCCTTTCAGGTTAAAATAACTCAGTTTAGCTTGCGTGGATTTTTTCTCATGGGATGCAATTCTCCAGTTTCTGAATCACACTTCATATGCTTCTTCTGTCCACTTCTGGGCCAAAATCCAGTCCAAAAAAGCTGCTTGGGTGGTCAAGGCTGTCAAGATCTCCATATTGCTGTTATTCCTCTTGGTAGAGGATGAATTGTACTGCCCTGACATATTGGGGCAGGGGAGGAGTGTCATGCCAGGCAGCTTCTCCTGTCTTCAGAGGAACATTTTTATGTTGAATTTCCTGACTGAAGAACTGGGAACTCTGTTGCTGCCATCCTGCTGGACTACCTTGTTGTCTGCTCAGCGGCATTTTCCCAAGAAGAGGCAGTTCTTTGTGCTGACGCTGTCAGCTCTCTTAGAGACAGATGGGGGAACGGCAACTTAGGGCATGTAGGACATGGAACAGCGAGGACATGGGCTGGAGAGGTTCGCTGCGCTGCTCTCCGTGGGTGGCTGTGTGCCAGCCGGGGCCTGGCTGTGGCTGGGTCTGCAGTGCCTTGCAGACACCGTATGACTGTGCCAGTTCAGCTGCAGACACCCTGTCCCTGCGCTGTGGGACTCCTCTCTGCTGAGGTCTTGAGGCCAGTGCAAGTTTGAATGAGGGAAAACTGCCCAACGATGGCCTAGGCTCTCTTTGGGACAGAGTAGTAGTTGCCAAAGGCACCTCAGTGCCCCAGAACGTGAGGTCCAGGACTTGGCTGGTGTTTGGCTGTACCTCAGCTGCCCACAGCACCTGCAGCAAAGGGTGTCAGCACCCACTGAGGTGCCGGGCCAGCCCCTGCTCCAGCCCCTGGGGAGGAGGAAAGGTGCCCGCTCTGACAGGACACAGCTGGCCATGCTCCTCATGGGACACAGTTGGCCGTGCTCCTCATGGGACACAGCAGGACATGCACCTCGGGACACAGCTGGCTGTGCTCCTCATGGGACACAGCAGGACATGCACCTCGGGACACAGCTGGCTGTGCTCCTCATGGGACACAGCCAGTTGTGCTCCCCATGGGACACAGCAAGTCATGCTCCTCAGTGCCGAGAGGCCCTGTGGTGCCAGGGGGCCGGTTCAGGCCCTGGGCCCGGGCGGGGAGGAGGACGGGAAGCCGGGGAGGGACAAGCACTGCAGTGAGCCTGGAGACACAGATTTCCTCCTTGCCTCGGGGCAGGACTTCCTCTTCTTGCGGAGGCTCTTGCATGTTCTGCCTGGGGGCAGCGTGCGGATGCCGAGCCCTGCTCGCCCGGCCTGGGAGCGTCTCTGTTGCCTGGCCCTGCTCTGCGGCGCATCCTCTGGGAAGGTGAGAGCCATGGGGCAGCTCTGGGGCTGCCTTCCCTGGGCTGGGGGCTGCGGAGCTCCTGGCAGCATCCTGTGCAGAGCATGGCCGGGACCCGGGTCTTGGGGCTGGATTCACCCTGGTGCCTCTTCAGCAGCCACGTGGCTGCGACAGGGGTGGATAGCGGCCCATGGCCGTGGTGCTGTTAGCTCAAGGGCACCCTTGTGAGCACAGCTTGGGTGGGCACTTCACTGTGGGGATGTGAGCGGCTCCTGCTTGGAGCAGGTTGGGTCTTGTGGGTACCTGGCAATATTTCTCCTATGGATGTGCCGGCCACAAGCCAGAGCTGGGCTGCCCCCTTGGTGCTGTGGGACAAAAGCAGAGGGTGAGATGGGTTCCTCCGTGGCGCCCATACCACTCCAGGCTCTGTCAGTCCAGTGTGAGACCAGGAACTTCTTTTGCTTCCTCGTGGCGGTCCATGCCCCTCCCGAGCCCTGTGGTGAGCAGCCACCTTGCCCTGGTTTCAGGCAACTGGAAAAAGCTTCATGCAATATTCACTACGCTGCCCTCGTCCCCCGGCTCTCGACTTAACGGAGCCGCCAGCGCTGGCTGTGCAGCCGCCAGCGCTGGCTCGGCCCCCCTCTCGGCAGCTGCAAGTTTAATAGTCTCGGAGGCGCCATAAGGACCCAAAACAGCCTTTTCCACTGGCTCCTTGCCTCATGGACACGACTAGTTCATGCTTTTTGCCTCCATGACATCGAAAGCTTGTGGTTGATGGTCGTGGGAAAAAGATTAAACCAGAAATCCGTGGCCACGAGCAAAAGAAGCACCAGGGATCTTCTGAGCCCTGTTCTCCACTGCTGCGCTAGGCCTGGGGGTGAGAGCTTTGCTGTGTATGAGCAATTGCATTTCCGCTGTGCTTGTGGCTTTTTTTCTGCTTCAACGAAAAGTGACACAGCTGGTTTTGAAAGGGCAGGTTCCAGAGGGAGGGCTGGGACCGTTCAAACTGCTCCTGCCTCCTCTTGCTGATGCCGCTCTTTGCTCCAGCGCTGGGACTGCACGGCGTGGTGGCTTTGATGGTAGAGCTGGCATCTCCCGGGCCACTTTTGAGGGAAGCTAGTTGGATCCCACAAAGAGCAGAGCAGGTACGTCAGTGCTGCAGAAGGTGCAGAAAATGTCTAAGGTCGAGAAATGAACCTAATGCTTACCTGTGGGGTTCCCTGGGGGACTCAGGGGCTCTGGGATCATCAGGTCTGCTCTGGCCTCATGCTTTAAGAGGGGGTTCATCTTCGTCCCAATTTCGGGGGGGGGTCTTGAGAGGAAAGAAGGAGACAGGGGGCTTGGGGTGAGACTCTGGACTCCTATGAAGGACAGGAGGTATTTTCTGTCCCTCAGCTTCTCAAATGCAGAGCTGAGGTCCAAACTTGCTGTGGCCATGAGCTGCTTCTGCACCCAAGGTGGCAGGAGTCCCGCTTGGTGGCAGGAGTCCCCCTTGCTTCTGCCCTTCGATCTCTCCTTGGCCCCCTGGCACCAGCTCCTCTTTTAGGGGTCACCTGCAAAAGGCAGGTTGAGCACTTGAGCACTTACTTATGATGTCTGTGAGGCCAAGACAGCCTTTTTACCTCTGACTTTAGGTTTATGGGAGTGTATTTGGGGCCAGAGGGAGGGGAAGAGAAATGTTTCACTCTCATATGCATGTATTTAAGAAAAGTTGATGCATGTGCACACACACACAGCTCTTGGTTCTCCTCCCACGTTAACTGTCCATTGAACAGCAAAACTTTGGCATTATCAGGGAGTGCACGAGCATCCCAGGCTGAATGCTTAACCATTGTTTCCCAAACTGATTTTTTTTCCCAATGTGCAAATCTTAAAAGTTTTGCAGCCAGAGTGTGGCTCCTTGTACAGCAAAAACATGATCAGGTGCACTTATGATGTCAACCTTAAAAAAATGGCTCTGGGGATCAGTTTTGGTTGTCTTGGTGTTTTAATAACCAGAGCAATAAAACTGTTGAATGATATTGAAAAGAAAATTTTAGTGGGATATTTCAATTGCCCAGCCAGGGCACAGTGGGGGCCATAGGATAGTTTTTTTTTTTTTAAATATTAGTCTTTATGGAGTATGTGTTGGGAGGTTGGGAGTGTTGCAGACCAGCATCCTAGCTGGATCCTGGGAGGCCGCGCAGGAAGCGGCCTCTCTCCTGCCTGTGGTGCCACCTGAAATGTCTCACTGCAGGTGGCATGAGGGATGCTGTGCCGGAAGCGGGCGCTCGTGGCCGTGTGCCTCGTGCTCTTCCTGTGGCACTACTTCCGAACCCCCATGGCCAGCACTGGCCTTTTCTTCTGGTCTCCATTTCTCTTTGGCGCCCGCCTGGAGCCCCACTGCGCTATCAGCGTCAACAGCTCGGCCTGGTTTAATGCCCGCTACAACGCAGCTGTGGGGCCGCTGCTGACAGCGCAAGCCCAGGACCTCCCCTCTGATGTTGTCCAGTGGTGGCTGGTGAGTGTTGAGCAGGTGTCGAATTGTTGTTGCTCATGCTCCCTCTGGGCACCTCTGGGAAGGGCCTGTGGAGCTGATGCCAACCTGTCTCTGCCCCGCTAGAAGCTGCAGGGCTCCCAGAGCAGAGGCCGGCTCCAGACTGCCATTCAACACCTCTTCACTGTCCTCCCATCCCCAACCAGCAGCACGTGGGCTCCAGCTCAGTGCCGGACTTGTGCTGTGGTGGGAAACTCAGGGTGGCTGAAAGGATCACGCCATGGGCCACAGATTGACTCCCATGACTGGGTGCTGAGGTGAGTGTACCCAGGGAACTTGGGCTGGCCCAGTCTGGGTCCTGCTTTGTCCCCTCTGGGGACCTGGTGGACCATGGTCAGCCCCATGAAAACCTAGGCACAGACACAAACTCCCTGTGTCCCCAAGCAAGGTGGGTGATTCATGAAGATACCTCCTGAATCTGAAGACCTCCAGTCCATGCTGTTCCTGCAAGGGTGAGGAGAGTCCCAGTGCATCACTCCTTGCAGGACCAGCTCTCTGGGTAATCAGGAGGGCCCATGTCCAGGTCTTGTAGTGTTCCTTGCTCCCCTGACCAAGTGGAAGCCAGTTCCTAAGCACACACCAGACCTTCATGGGCCTGCGACTCCTTCCCTCGCTTGCTAGCCAGAACAGACTCGTGTCTGGCACGACTAGCACCTCAGCACCCTAATGGTCTAGCATGGTGTGCGGCTTCATTTTAGGACTCCTTTTAACTCCTTCCCATAGGATGAACAGAGCAAAGATAACAGGCTTCGAGGTAGATGTCGGCATGAGAACAACCCATCACTTCATGTACCCTGAAAGCGCAGTGGACCTCTGGCCTGGTGTCCACCTCATCCTTGTCCCTTTTAAGCCACTGGACCTGAAGTGGATGGCCAGCGCCTTGTCCACAGGAGAACTCACACAGTGTGTATCCTGCTGTCATCACGTGTGGCCTGGGTCTCCGAGGTCAGGTGGGGGCATGTCCGCTAGTGCCAGATAGAGTGGGCATGATTCAGGGAGGCCCATTTGCCCTGGGGAAGCAGGTCGCTCTCTGGGCTCTGTTCTTCAGGCTGAAGGAAGGTCTCAGAGTGCCCTGGGAACAGTTCTGGCATCTCTGCCCTAGGTTGGGTGTAAGCCAGGGCCAATCCTTCAATGCAGGGCTCAGGTGGCCCATGGTTGCAATGGAGGTTGTCCCAGCTGAGTGTCTGGGGGCTTAATGTAGGTCTTCTGATCTCGCCCCTTGGCTGGCTTGGGTGTCCTTCTCTGCTGATAAAGGGAATGGAGGGAGTGTGGTGTGGGGCTCTGTCATCCCCCAAATACTGCTGGAGCTTTTGGGAGCCAGACCAGATCATGGCCACACTGTTGGGCAGGTCTGCTTGCCATGTGCCATGGAGCTGATCATCACAGCAGTCCTCCAAAGACATGTACTTCTGAAAGAAAGGTCACCAGGGAAGCTGCTTTCCTCCTAAGATGGTGCAGGTTGTCCTCCTGCTCACCAATGTCTTGTCACTTTTTCAGCACATACACGAGAGTCAAACAGTTCATCAAAGCTGACAGAAGCAAGGTGAGAGCTGGGTGGACTTCCGGGGAGCACCTCCACCTGCAGTCCCTGGTTGGGGGCCTGGGCTGGCAGAGGTGGGTGCCCAGTTGCCCCATGTGCTGGGGCTGTTGAGGCAATGGGGAAGAAGTGGCTGGTGGCCACCAGTGAACTGACATGGCTACAAGGTGGCACAAGCCAAAAGGAGCCTGCTGCCTCCCCTTCCCTGGCCAGCGTTGGGGCAGCCAGTGCTCCCTCAGTCAGAGGCTGCGCTGGACCCTTGGTGAGGCAGCAGGTTGTGGGATGTGGAAGAGGGGCTGGGAAGGCTGGCATCCGTTCCGGCATCACCTGGGTGGTGGCAGGGGTTGGCTGTCCTGTTTTTAGCTCCATGACAACCTGACTGCTGGGCCTGTGCTCTGTTGCCCTGCTCAGGTGCGGGTCCTCAGCCCTGCTTTTCTCAAGTACATCCATGACAACTGGACGCAGCACCACGGGAAGTACCCCTCCACGGGCTTCACCGCAGTGCTCTTCGCCTTGCACGCCTGCCACCAGGTGAGTGCAGCCAGCAGGCACAGCACCAAAACGCCGTGGGGACAGTTCAGCCCAAGTGCCCATCACGGCTGTGTCATGTAGCTCAGGCTCTGTGGGCTCCGCAAGGTGCTATGGGCTCGGTCTTGTGCTTTCTGTAGGTACAAAGCACAGAAGAGATCTTGGGGTGTTCCTAGTTGTGCTCTCTGCTCACACCAGGGCTAATATCAAGGCAGGTTGCTCAGGGGCTTGTTCAGACGAATTTTGAAAAATCCTACAAGAAGCCCCTGTGACCACAGCCCTGCTCCTGTTGGTACCTACGTTACCCACAGCTGAATGCTGCTCTTTAGGGTAACAGTGCCATGCAAAGGGAACCCCCCTGCACGCAGCACACAGCCTCCTGAGCTCTCCACCCTATGTGTCCACCAGTGGCAGGAGATGGCCACCACGACCCACTGCGAGTTGAGCTTTGTCCTGTCTCTACAAGTAGGGCGATCATGCAGGAGGGCCGGGATGTTCCTCTGAGGAGCTGCTGCCCTTGCTGCCTCACTCACCTTATTTCCCATGAACTCTGCACCAAATCCTCAGTTTCCTCTGAGCAGATGGGCTGGAAGCAACCCCATCACTGGTGAAAGCCCCAGGTCCTTGTGCTTTATGCCAAGTGATCACTTCTCCCACTCTGACCTTGCTGATGGCATGCCCATTTACAGAATCACAGAATCACAGAATCTTTAAGGTTGGAAGGGACCTCTAGAGATCATTTAGCGATGGTTCTTGTTCATGTGTGTGCAGGTCTCTGTGTTCGGCTTTGGAGCAGATCCTCGAGGGAACTGGCATCACTACTGGGAAGAAAACCGCTACTCAGGAGCCTTCCGCAAGACAAAGGTCCACGACGCTGATGTTGAGTTCAGCATTATCAAGAGACTTGCAGCTGAAGGCAAAATATTTTTCTATGAATGACCTGTTTTCAAGGAACTGAAGTCAGGGTGGTAGCACAAGGCCTGGCAGATACCTCCTGACAGTTGCACTGGCTCCTTTGCTCACTTCTCCCATCAGTGCTGCAGCGTGCCAGCAGCCTCTGGCCCTGTGTCGGGTTGTTCCAGCTGGGAGGGACCAGGGACAGGATGGAGCTCACGAGCTGCCACGTGTGGCCCTCTGCATGGCCTCACGTAGCAGATAATCACTGCACAGGGCAAGACAAGGGCCCGCTGGCAGCCCCAACTTCAGCTCTGCCCCAGCCCTCTGTATAGCGCCCGCCACTGCTGCTGCGCGTGGGACAGGCACGGAGTGATGGAGCCAGAGCTTCCACCCTCTGGTGACATCTGGGGAAGCTTCACCTCAGTTCACCAGGCAGGTGGAGGGAAGGGCATCTTCCATTCCTGTTTCTTTATAATCAGGGAAGTACTTTTAAACAATAACAAAGAACAGTAAGAGAGGAAAAACCAAGTGTGCGAAAGTGGGATGATGGCAGAATTACTGTTGAAAGGAGTTTAGGCTGAATAAATTTGGAAATCTGGTGTGAATCAAGCCCTTGTTAATGTTCATTTTATTCAGTTTTTGCCTCCTACTCTTTATGCTTGGAAGAGGCAGCATTATCTGTCTCGGGCTCATTCGGTACGAAGAAATTCCCCACCATGGAGCCCCAAAGGAATTTTTTTGCCCTAGAGCAAGGCAGGTGTACCTGATGGCTGCCATCCCCATGAGGGGCAGAGAGGCAGTGAGTTGCTTTCTTGGCAATGTTACTTTGCAAACACGGAGTCCCTCCACACAAACCGCTTGCAACAGGTGCTTTACTGACACATCAGATGGCACCCACTGCCTTTATCCGCAAAATTCAAGGAATAACCTTTCAGCTGTGCTCTGAGAAAGCCGCCCGCCCTGGGACAACGTGGACAGCCGTGATCCCATCCTCTCGTGGGGATGGAATTACCATGGCAGCGGTTTGCAGTTTCCTGCTTTACATTGCAAACCTGAATGTCTTTGAACATAACCGAGCTTTTCGCTGCTACCTCACATTTGTAACTTAAGTCTTTCAGGCAACCTGTTAAAATCCCCATCTCTTTCTTAAAAGAATCTTTCTTAGAAGCTCCCATCTTGTAAGAAAAAAAAAAAAATCCCTGGTACTCCCCGTATGAACTATTCATCTCATTTCTGCTTCTCCAGATATTCATGGCTGGACGACTTTTGTGTTTCCCCTTTAATGCTGAGAACTTCATACGGAAAAAAACCAGTAAGATTAAATTGCCCTTTGTCTGCTCTGGGAATTTCCTTTCCCAACAGCCAGCCCTCACTTCCTTCTTATCCAGTTCCTCTCCACAGCTTGCAACTCCTGTGTTTATCCTTCGCCTTTCCTTTATTTTCTCCAAGTGCTGAGCGGCATTCAGTGTCATGATGGAAACTGAAGAATGGAGGGTGAAACCCTTAGTACATTATTTCCATGGTCTTCACATTCTTTGTTATTCTTGAAAATTTAAAGCTGTGCGCTCTGCTGTGTGACAAAGGGGCTAGACCACTTCTTGCTCCTTGTAGAGATACTATACTATATGCTTCTCCTTCCTCAAACCAGAGTAGTTAGAATTACCTAGTGGATTTATTAAATACCCTTGTTCCAAATGCATTTTTAATAACTTTTAATAATTTTTAATAAAAATTCCCTCTATTCCAGGATGGAGATAAGTCAATTTCTTTACCCACAACTCAAATTGCTTCTCTTTCTGCTTGAAAACATCTATACTTGCTGTTTTGAAGATAAATTCAAATAATTAAGCAAATACTACTTTCAAATTATGTATATTTATTCTGAGTTTTAAAAATGACTTCCTCTCTTCATTCTTTGATGCTTGCTTGTCTCTGCACTGCAAAAGCCAAAATGGTTCAACTGCTCTAGGTTTAGAGCAAATACAAGAAACTCAGCCAAACCACGGCTGAACTTCAACAGAAATGACCCTATTTTGCCTCAAAATGAGAAATAGATTCACTTTTTTTTTTCTTTTTCCTCTTTGTCTTCCCGTTATTTTTTATAATTCAATGTCCTCTGCCAGCCTCAGCACCAAACATTTTACTCACTTGTGTAGAGCATTCAACAGAAAAAAAGTCCTCAACATCACGACATACCTATATATTTTGCCACATAACAGGTCAGTAACAACTCACTACTAGGACTGATTCAAATAAATTAATTGTTCTTCTAAATGCTTGAACAAAACCCATAGAGGTTTAACTTTATTATAAAATAGAAACAGAGAGGAAGTGAAAAACACAATCCAATTTAAAAATTAATTAAAACTGCAAATGGTGTTTTTTGTTTTTGTTTTTTACTGAAACATCAACTTGCACCTTTTATAAAAAGAGAGTGTTTTGGAGCCAGAGAACACTGCAATGCCCCATGGTGCTGTAAGCACATCTTGTGTGCCAGTTCTCGCCACATCACTCAGCCCTGTCAACAGAAAAGCACAAGGGATCCAGCACATTTTCAGAGATCTGACATGTGCATAAGCACACTCAGAAATCTTTTTAACAAACAGAAAAAAAGAAAACAGATAAATAGTGTTGCCAGATTTTTTTTTCCATGGCATCTTCAATCAACTCTAGGTTTCATGATAATGTAGTACCTTATTCCTGGAAACCATCACCATGCAGTATCTCCAGCAGCTCTTTTGGGAGGCAAATTTGATGAACATGGACGGACACAAAAGGGCTGGTACAACGGAGTGTGGAGAGCCAGACAAGACGGGTAATACATCCTTGCAGCAGCAAAGTTCAAGCTGTTCCACCCACAAACTAATGACAAACAAAGAATGATGACAGAGTAATGTAAGAGTGGTTGGGGCTGTCTGGTACTTCTGAATCTCCTCTCTTGGGCACACACTTGCAGTTCTTGTAGTTCTGTAGGTCTTGGGCACACAAGGATCACTTGTAGTTTGGAAAAAAAATCTATTTAGCTCTCCTTAGAGGTTTTAGTTTGTTTGTTTTAAGTGAGGTCATGGCTTATTTATGTTGTCTTGCCAAGTTCAATTTTCTTCTGGATGGCACGTGCTGAGTGATAAATCAAGGAGTCAATGAATCCTGCAACTAGAAGGAGAAAAACGGATGAATCAATACAGACATTCCCTGAAGAGGGAACAACTCCAGGGAAAGAAAACACAAACTCTTCTGTCAGTGCAAAAAGAGGAAACAGCTGTGGCTGCTCAGAGACATGAAGGTCCTCAACTCATCAGGAGAGACAAAATCCAGCTTGCAGGGACAGGCATGGCCATGCTTCTCCAGAGGAAGATTTCTCTTACAGTAGTAAAGATAAGACAAGCCAAGCTGCATGTGCTTACTGATGAGCAAGAAAAATTTGGAAAGAAAGTTCAATCTAGAAAGGTTAGTTTGTTTCATTGCTCTGACATAGCTGGCCAAGGCAATATTTTACATTTCATACTCATTTCGGTTTCTTTATAAATAAACCAGTCTATGCTACAAAGGACATACTTCCCTTTATGGATGCCCTTTAGGTCAGACTGCGATGTGTGCCAAGCAAGGACCCAATATAGAAAATACAGTGATGTCCTTAGTTCTTTATGCAGTATTTTCCATAGATCTCTCCAGCCAAAGCTCTGCAAGAATCTGTTAACTCACTACTTGCTTGCAACCAAGAAAAATCTCAGAATGGGATTTCTGCTACTTCAGACAATCCTGCTTCCACTAACAGCTTTCACAGGACAAGTTCTTGCTTAGCTCCTTCTTTTTTACCTAAGGGAGAACAGGGTGCCAGAAAGTCATTGTAATATCCCCTGTTTATTTTCTCTTTTATTTGGCATCCCTAACCTAGGGAACAAATACATGGTTTCTTGACCCTACACAAAAAAAAAAAAAAAAAACCCGAGACATTGTGATACTACTTAAAGAGCAGCAGCTAAGATTGATTCTTCTTTCTCTTACTTAATAATATGTATTCTTTGGTCTTGTTATTTATTTTTTCAGTTAACTCAGATGACTGTCATTTGTGGTCATTTTGCCTTGAAAATATTCCTACTTGTGGGATGAGTTTAATGTTGTAATACCAAAATTATTACACAGCTGATTTGATCTACCCCTAGAATATAGAAAATCTAAACATGACATCTGTCAGCAAAAACTATGAACTGGATGCCACTACTTGAGGATACTTGCCTTTGTTATACAAAAAAAAATTGAAATTACAAGCTGCTTAGGTGCAATAAGGTCTGCTAACTAGATCTCACTCAGATATCTTCTGACTGGATCTGACCATGGCAGCTTGGGTTCAAGGATTTTATCAGGTTGGGTTCTACCTGAAAGCACCTACCTGCTTGCAGACCCTGGCTAACCAAGAGAACAGTACAACTGCATTCAAAGTTATACAAAAGACTGCGTTATTTGAAAACAAAATATCTTTTAGAGAGAAAGAAAAAACTGTGAAGGTCTACTTTTGTTGTGTCTTGAAAGCCTAAAGTGTTAAAAGCATTTTGATGCTTCTCCCATAGCTCTGCAGAACATGCTATACTGCCTCTTGAAGGTGGAAATCATCATAACCCAGAAGACAGGGGCTCATCACCAACTATGCAGAACAGTAAGATGGAAAATGTTTGCTCTTTAGAGAAAAAAAAGATTTATAAGTGCAATACCTGTAAATATGCCTCCAACAATAGCACAGACTCCCGTAAGAAAATGTGTAAAGGACCTAGAAAAACAATTTAAACAATCAGCCTGAGCTCAGATATCAAAATGACAGCTAAATAAGAAGCAACTAATACAAACTAATTCATAATATACTGTATACTGTATGTATAAAAATATACATACTACATAAATACATACTACATAAATATTAACAGCTAACAATGAAAAATTTTAACAATTAAATAACTCCTATCAACAACAGGATGGAGTCCCTATTTTTCCAATCCATCTTTTTTGCTGAAGAAAAGCATTTTAAGCAGAGCACTCTAATAATCTAAATTACAACCTTGGGAGGAGTGAGTTGAAGGATGGACTTTTCATTTTAGATTTTAGCCACTCCCGCTCAGACAGAATTTACAAGAGGCTGGTATAACACAGAAAAAAAATCTCCAAGCATTTATTAATGCTAATACATTTTAAGGTCTCAAATTTAACCCTGCCTAATTATGATCATAAAAGATTTGACAGCCACAAGTCATGCTGTTTCCCTGCAACCACAAGCCTCTGCTTAACTGAGGACACCGAAAGAAGAAACAGATTCCACCCTGATTAGAACATACAGAAAATATACAGGAAAAGCAGAAAAACACACTGGGTCAGGGTGGGTGCCACCATTTGTGCCAGTAAGACAATACAGGAAAAGCAGAAAAACACACTGGGTCAGGATGGGTGCCACAATTGGGGCTAGTAAGACGTTCTCTGGACAAAGTGCAGTTTTATTAAATGGTTATGCTACATAAAACCAAGAGACATCAGGTCTTCTCATGAAGGGAATGCACAAGTTGTTTAATGTTGGATAAAGAGATACCTTGATAACTTTATCCAAAGTTTAGGCTTGTGCCTTAGGCTTGTAATGTTTTTTGGAAAAGGAAAAAAAAGACTTGGATACCTTTTTCTTTTCAAAAGATAGACTTTCCATTCTCGTTTTCAGGAGAACTGCGTCATGATTTGTTCATGCTTATTTTTTGCAAATCATAAAATTTGTTCATGCTTATGATTTAGTGATCATGCTTATGATTTGTAAAAGGCTTTGGGGAAATTAGACTGAACTATGAACCAGTTTATTAGACTCCAGCTCACTGTCTTAATGCTGAATTGAGATGCTTCAGACAACGCCAGAAAACCTCTAATCCACTTTAAGTGTTCACACTGAGAGGAACTGCCCCTAAGTGCCCCTTCATCTCTGTTGACTATGAGAGGGAGTCTGCGCTGTAGCATCTAAATGAGGCTTGTGGTTTAAGCTATACAAAAAGACAAATCAGTAAAGGTGAATGTGAAATAAAAATAAGAAGGTCTCATACCTGTGTTTCTCTGTTAGCTTCACCATCATGGGAGAAAGCTCATAGAGCACAAACACACCTGGCAGACCTTGGTCTCCTATTAGCCCATTGGCTATTTTCTCATGCCGTGTAACTGAAAACTGGTTTGTCCTTACCACCTGGTAGGAAACAAACATAAGCACAGTTTTGTTAGCAAGAAAGAAGAAAGGTTTTTGAAACAAGAGCTCAGTGGACCACCTCAAGCAAACCCGTCCAACCATTTGTGTGACAGCTGAGTTTAATCACAGTTTTAATGGCTGTAAGGAGCACCACTAACACAAGTCTACTTTTACTACAGGGCTACACCTAGTCGACTCCCTAGGACTCCAACTCCCTCCAACATCTGCAGAGCACCATCTGGAGGCCTCCTTGCAGCTCACCCCTGACAGAAGCCTGCAGTGCATCCTTCTGCAGTGCTGGCCCTGGTCGTTCCAGCTTTGCGCACAGTAAAAATTGTATTCTCTTTCTGACATTTGTATTTTTGATACCTAGACTACTGTTACATTTGTCCTTGGTAGAGGTATGAGTCTTTATATTTGACACCAACTCAAGATCTTTGTTTTAGTACTTCAGAGTCCTTGTATTTTGAGCATTCAGCTTTTGTCCGTGGTACTTTAAAACTAATTGTCTCAAATATTTTTTCCCCTTGTACACCAAATCCATGTCATCCTCTGAAAATCTGCTGCACCCTTAGGGTTGTTCAGGAGATAGGATGGACTCAGAGCAAGGGGTTTAGATTCCAGAAGTTCTTAAACTGGAGACATGCTGATCCTGGGTTTTTCCTCAAAGAACACTTTCAGGATCTCCTTGCTGCTTTGACTTCCCCTGAGCATGCACTATGCATCCTAAACATGTGGAAACTGCTGCGATAACTTTCAGCTAGGTGGGATAGAGGCTGAAATATGTTTCAGATGAACTCCACAGAAATTGTTAATCTTGTTAGAGTTGTTTACATGAAGAATGTCAAATAGTTTCTGTCGCTTCCACCAGCTCCGATAAAGAACGTGGTAGGAATCAGAATAAAAGTAGAAAGTCTTTGAAGATTTTGCATTTGTTCTAAAGAGTGAAGTGAATTAACTACTATGACAGATTAAAAATAAAATCTAAAGAACATTATTCAGAACAATGAAATGTTGATTATCCTGTGGAATTACTACTTATAAAGACCTGGAGATGAGAGACTTGTAGCCACCAAATAAACAGATTTGTTTAGAATAAACATTTTAAAATATACAAAACTACTTTCAAAGAAGTACAGAAAAATACTTTCTTATGCTGCAGGCTGTAAGAAAGAATCAACTAACACTGCGTGAAGATCTACTTCACGTCTTACAGCTATGGCACCAGCAGCAACACATGTATAAGCACAATAGATATTATTATATAAGAAAAAGCTTGACCTCATGTGTAAGTCAATGTATGTGCATCAACACAGGATACAAGAACATGCAGATATTCATAAAAATCCCAAATCAATTGGAAAAGAAAAAAAAAGTACTTACTTCACCATCTACTTTCATATATACTGTGGGGACCACTTTGACAAAATACTGAAACATCATGGAAGCTATAAGCAAAGTCAGAGACATACAATGAAATATCAACTGTAATAAATGGTAAAGAGCTATAAAAGTTTAAATGACAGGACAGGCAGGTACAGATTCTTTTTTTTCTGAGAAATTTCTCAAGAAGTATCTTTTTGTGCCACAGCTACTGGAGATGTTCAATGAGAATGAAGTTAATGTCTAACAGTAGCTTTCCTTTTTCCAAAGGGGATTCTGTTCCTTATTCAACCAGAAACAAAATGAAGCAGCTCTTCTACTTTGATTAAACGGAAGAATTTCTGTGAACCAGTTACCTTACCACAGTTTTACCAGCTCAATTTCTTTCCAGAAAAATCTCATGCTAGGGACAATTTTCTGTTTAACAGCATATCCATGCAGAATCATGGTCATTTCTCATAATCATGAGAAAATATTCTCAATTCTAAATAGGTATCCTACACCAGCTTAATTAACATCATGCTTATTTGTGTAGAAACAGTTTGTGTAAAAAAAAAAAAAAAAAGTGAACCCTCATCTGAGAACAGCCTGTTCCTTTAGTTCTCTTAATAATAATGGAAGACAGCAGTCATTTTCAGAAACTTTATGAAAAAAATACTTAGGAAGAGTCATCTCTCAGCTGGCTTTTACCTTGCTGTGCAGTGACGTCTGTCCCATCCAGAGGGTTCACAATGCCTGGATAATCTCTTCCAAATGAGAGATGTTTGATGTAATGTGTCATATTGATCTGAAATAGAGCTGTTAATAATTCAAACAACTGCATGACATTCATAGGTATCCATAGGTAAAGGTAAGGGGCCTGGAGTTAATTGTTTTTTATCCTTTTCTTCAAGTAGCTCTAGAACAGAGCCAAGTTCTCCCTTAATTCTGCAGTTCTTAACAGTAAATTGCAAAGCATGCGCTCTTATTACTTGCGAGAGATTCCAAAACTTTCCATTTTGGAATTGCAATTTCTCCCCTTCCTATTGGAAATCCCCAAATCCTAGTGCTTTTCCCTCACATCTACAGAGTAGGCTCCTCCATGTGCTCCTCTGAGCCCCAGCAGCACCATTCTCTCAAACACCTCACTGGTACAGGTCGTGCTATCATCTGCCTTGCTCGCAGGGCAAGGGTAACCTCTAGCAGATCTAGAAGCAGTTGTGCAAATCCCTATGGGACTGGGAAGCACAGGTTCATAACCAAGGTTGTAGCACTATAGGGTCTCAGGAAGAAGGAAACAGGCTTGCCAGGCAACATGATGTCCCAGAACATACATCAGATCTCTGTGTAAAAGCAGGTCCTAGATTCTCCTCAAACTGAAAAAAGCTTAAAGTCAGCTGCTTTCAGTACACTAGGATCTCAACATGGCAATGGGAAGAAAATCCAAAAGGAAGACAGAGAACTGGGACACTGTGTCTTGGAAACACTTACATTATCAAGTCCAAAGCTCTGGAGATCATGAACTGTAACAGAAAAAATAGTTTAAAAATGTGATTCAGACAATGGCATCAAGCAGATCTCTTTACTTTAATTTACGAGGGAACTCCCTTGCTAAAATGGCAAGAAAATAACTTGGATTTCTCTCTTAGTTGCAGTAGGACACATGACAGATAAAACTGTAGTTTTATCTGTGGGAGAAAGAGCAAGCTTGCACAAGTGACCAAGGATAATTTCACTATCTCAGTCATTAAGTCATAACCATTTCAGATTTTGCCTAGCTCCTTTAACCACTGTTAACACACTAGCACAACAGATCTAAAGAAATAACTAAGCACAGCTTCTGACTTAAACAGTGACACATGAAAGCATCCAAAAAATTCCTCAGCATCTTAGCACCAGAGCACTCCCACCGGTCTTGTCATTGCTGCCCAAGGAACACATAAGGAAAAGAAAAGTCTTTGCACGGACAGTTGAGCAGTTTTCCTATGTCACAGGAGAGGAGGCTGCTCTCATCAGCGATGCCCTTTGGGAATCGCATCCTGCTCTCTCGCTGCACTTCCTGGACACATCAGTATCTTGACTTTCGCAGCACTACGCACCCAGAAGAGACATGGCAAAGATATGGACAACAAGAGGCTCTTTTGGAAAGAACTGGTATCTTCCTGTTATTCAAGTGATTTTATGCAAGGCCAGGAGCATCAGTCTCAGGATGGAGGTATAGCTTACATGTAAATTGCAGTATTGTTCTTACAGGCACAGCCAAAGTTATATAGCCATCCAAAGGCAGCCAGTCTTTAACAGGCTGTGACACATTTTAACAGGTAGATTCACATGCTCGGGAAGCCAGAATTAACCTTTCACCTTAGCAAAGAAAACTCCAGTTTGGAAACTGCGGGCTATTAGTTTATGAGCTGATGGAGTCAGCTCACCAACTACTCCTATAATATTAATGAAGATCAAGAACGCTGCTCTCTGAAAAGGATTTTGATATACAATCCAGCACAAGGAAGGCTGCAAAGCTGAAGAATTGACTTAAACTAAACTCTCTTTTGAAATAAACATTTATCATAAATATACATTTTTTTTACCAACACCTTTCTATGAAAAAAACACAAGCTTTATTTGTGCTTACATTAACCTCACTAAAAATATATGCATGCAAAACACAGGCTGAGCTGTTAGAGCAGGAAATGCTATATATACTCTTCCTTCAACTTTGATCTAGGGAAGCCACAATGCATTGCACAACTTAAATATTCAGCACTCAGAAACTAAGGCTGCAGTCAGTGGAAACAAGGCACTGGTTTTGCATTACAGAGGCAGCATTCAGTTAAGCGCTGAGAGCTGCACGGGGTTCAGGTGTTCAATTCTCCTCCTCCCTGTTCCTGCTTTGGAAGACAGGAGGCAGACATTCCTTCACCATGAGCACAGCCATTTGTGTGGCGTTTGTGTGGAAGCAGTTCAATCAGATAACTCATTTATCTTATAAAAAGACTAAAAATATGGAATTACTTGTGAAAACAGCAACGGTGGGAGGGAGAGGAAGAAAAGGAGAAGTGGTGATGAGATTATACTATACCGTTTTCATAACTACTTAGAAGAAACACTCTGTTTAATGTTGCAATCAATAAAATATAATGCACTTAAGAGAGAAGTTGTTTTAGGCACTGTTGAAGTGTTAAGACTCACAGCCTTTTGTATTTCACCAAACTACAAACAACAGTAAGCTAATATTCAGCTAACAGTAAAATCCTATCAATCAAGATTCCAGATATAGATGAGCTGCATTTAAGCTAGACTACTGACACAGTCTTTGTGCTCTAGCTGAAACAAAAGCATTGTTTTACTGGAGACAATTTTTGCAAACAGATCAGCTCCTAAATAAGGCTAATGACACAGCTGCACAAATGCTTGTGCTAATGCACTGCAGCAATGGTACAAACCCTCAACACAGAGCACAGCAGGAAACCTTCCTGGGACTGGGCTACACACGCTTATGGGCTTTTTTTTTTTTTTTCCCCTCAGTTCTAGTGCTTTAATAGTCACATTCATTAACATGTGAAGTCTAGTAAGGTTGAGGAATCTCACAGTAGCAGCAGAGTATGAGAGAAGCATGTGATAAGGACTAGTCATCATAAAATGTGATTTCCTCATAGTGCTCTGCTATAATGTTCCATATGTAAAGAGCCGATTAATCAGTTTTTATAAAACGCTTCTCAAATAAATGATTGTAAATTCTGAAAAAGCAAGATCTAGGCATATAGTCTCTAAAACAGTTTTCAACCAGACTACAGGTTTATTTATTTTTGATCAATGAGGCTTATGCTATGTATGTTTATACAGTCTGCATTGGAGATAAACATTTAGCTATCCACAGATTTCTTAACATAAAACAATAGGCTATTTAGCCTACTTAGGGAAGAAAACTATCAAGGAAACAGGAGATACTAAGAAACTACCAGCGAGGACCAGAGATGGTTATTTCTAAAGAAACCAACACTTTCCTTTCTCTAACTGCAGGGCTTAATTAGGTAAGACGCAGAACATCCCAGGTTTCTCAAGGAATCTATCCATTCTTATATAATTTGGTGTTCTTCAATGTTTAGTATCATTTTAATTAATTTTAAGATATGCAGCCTGAGGAATTCTCCCAACCTTCTTCTGACCTGAAAAACCACAAAGTTTTCTCGGTGATCTTAAAATCCAGGCCTCAGTCCTTTACTTGTAAAACTGAATAACAGCATTTCCTATCACTAAGGATTTTGAAAACAAATGCAGTAAGATCGCAAGGAGCATGAGACTCAGCTACCTAAACGTGCTGCTCCAAAGCACGCTAGGTCACCAGATTTTAACCTGGGGAAGAATTTTCTTCAGCAAAATATCTTACAGGAACACAGTGAGGGGAAGATGCTGAAGAGGGCCAAGGATGCACTGTGAAGACAGGACTAATGCAGGCAGCAACACCAAAAGCATTGCAGCGAGGGGAGGCAATCAGAGCAGGGATCCTGAGCCAGGATTTTGCCAGATTCTACAGTTGATGTTTCAACTCAGTAAACACTGCAATTGTGTCATCCTCTAAAAATACAAACAAGCAAAAATAAAATAAACTTATAACCTCCCTACTCCGCCTGCCCCCAAACCTTCTATTGCATATACTGAAACGAGCAGGCTTGGTGCATGCATTCTCAGGAGAAACTCTTTACCTTGTTGTCAAAATGAGATTAAATGAGATAATTATTCCATCTGATTTCCAAAGAGAGAAGTATCTCCAATTTACTGCCACATCCCTCTCGATTATGTTATCTGCACAGAACAACTAACAATCCATATTACATCTAACACTGACATATTAAGACCAGTGAAGTCAAAGACACTTTTTTTCACTTTTTTTTTTCACTTTTTTTCACCTGGGGACGTCATTTATCACATAAGAATGGCCTGGCATGGATCTCCTTACAGCTTTTAGGAAATTAAATCCCAGGCTAGATTAACAGCTCCTCCCAAAGGAGATTTAGGGGCACAGCAAATAATAGAAATTTGATTAGTTCTGTAGTAAACTGTTTTGAAAAAGAAAGGATATAGCAACACTTACTCTCAACAGCGTGCACTGCAAAAACAAGCAGAGTAGGAGAGAAAAGAGAAATATTCAGATCCTTATAATGAAAATCAGAGATTCAGATAAAGCAGCATTTAAAACTCATACCAAAAAGAGGAAGAATAATTGCTTTTGCTGATGTCTCTTCTAGGCCACATATAAAGACTCCCTAGCTATCAAAAGAACCAATAACCAGACAAGCAGTCATTGAAAAACTAACAGGGACACAAAAATGCAGGGAATTAATCACTAAAAGAAAAAGATTACAGTGGGATGTCCATATATTTCAAATAAGCTTTAAAGCAGCATGTCAGACAACAGTGATATTCAGATTCCATTTCTTTAATCCCTTAGGGGAGTGAAAAGGTTATTTTAAGAGCAATCAAAGCTGTTCAGAAGTGTAGCCAAGCTGTACATTCATAACAGACTGTCATTCAAAGCTGTAAGTAATGTGAGTAACAGGTAACACATTCTTCTGTCAAACGGTCCTGTGTTTCTTTCACCATACCTGACATACAAGTACAGTGAGAAGTCATGAGGTTATTTTTCCTCATTCTGTTGCAAGATCTCAACAAAAGTAAATACCTGGGGGCATGTGGACTGCATATCTCACAGAATATTTATTATGACTAACTGCCATTTTTTTGTTGTTTTCAAAAGACTGTTCTACATGTGACTGCACCAAACAGGACTAACCAGTAACTTCCATAGCTTTAAACCTGCTTGGAAATGGGCCTCTGAATCCTGGTGAAGCTTTTGTGACCACGTGTTTTTGCTATGGAGAAAGTGTGGAGAGCCTCCAGATAGCTGCTTGGCAAATATTAACCATCCCCAACAACTCATTCAATTTGAACTCTGGTAGATTGTAATCTGCTGGCAAATGGAAAAGTTAGTTTTGCGATCTTAAAAACAAGCTTGGTACATCAGTAAACAGCTTGTGTCCCTACATGGAAACAGATGAGACAGTAAGTCTTTTAGCACCAACATAAGCCACCTCTCAAAGGAGTTTTCCCTCCAGTGTAAAAAGAAGAGTTTTGAGCATTCCCGAGGATAAAATAACTACACAGGTATCAAAAAGCAGCTCATTCAGTGCTAGCCCTGCATGTGTATTAGCTCTGTCTCATGTTAGTTCTTATTCTGTTTTTGAGGGGGGACGGGAGAAAAAAAAGGCAATTTCAACTCGCTCCTACCTAGGAGAGCGACTACAGTTTTTAAGATGATAATAGCAATCACTGTTCTGGAGATCTGGGGGACTACAAGTGTAACTCTCAGGGTGTGGAGAGAGCATCAACATATGAAACTGAAAAGCTGATCTCCCAGCTGGCATATCTGAATAACACCCAACAAAGTACGGACATGGGTCTAATCATCAGTTGCACAGACATAGTATAGGCATGTCAAAGTAATGCAAGGACAGCGGCACCATGAATGATCTCTCCATAGTATTGACATTCATGTTAACCCTTTATTTCCTAGTATAAATCAGAAATGCAGCAGTGAAGAAGCAAGCAACACGAGGATCACTCTCTCCTGACAAATCTGCCACTAAGCACTTTCCAGAAGCCAGCACAGTTTGAGTGAGGGAATACTCTAGCTCAAATCAGTAAGGAAAATAAGACAGTAGCAGAAATACTGTCTGTCATCACAGTTTTAATGTAGGTCTGTCAGAATTAGTATTTCATTGGATTGTTAAGGCGGTTTATGACTTCTCTTAGTCATGCAGCTTTAACATGCTTAAGAGACTGCCATGCAGGATAACAGGACTGATCATTAATGCAGACCTTATTAACAGGATTAAAAATCATACAGACAGAAGTTCTAACAGTGGAATTATCATTGAAAAAAAAAATATTTCCAAAGAAGCTCTTAGAGTGCTATCCTATGACCAACTCTACTTAATGTTTTAGTCAGGTATTAAAGGCAAATACAAAACTTCTGACTGCATTTTATATATACACACACACACACACACACACATATACACATCTACATTATATATACATATATATAAAGATTATAAAGAAAGGTTATACTGTGATAACAAGATATAAAACACTGCCTGAGCTGACGATTTCTCTTAAAGTGGGAACCTAGTGAGACTCTGCTTGGTGATGTCGTGAAAGCCTTGTGCAGTAACAGGTTGAAAACAAGGGAGAACAAATGCTGGGTACTACTAAGAAAGTAATAGAAGAAAAGTGAGAACATCATCATATCACTGCCTACAACGCTAGTTGGATCTTCTTCCTGGGTGCAGTTCTGGCACTTCTGGAAATAGGAGAATTGGAAGAGGTCCAGAGAAAGGCAGCAAAGAAGCTCAGGCTAAAGGGCTTCCACAAATGATCAGCTGAGTAGGTTGAGACTTTTCAGCTGAGGAAAGACATGACCTGTAGAATGGCCCGAGAAAGACCCAAGACATCCTGAGTGGCAGGGAGAGAGCAGGCAGGGATCATTTTCCAAAGGAAGCAGAAAGTCCACCAAATGAAGCTAATGGCAGCCGGGCTGCAAGCAAATGAGAGTACGGTATAGTGTTTGTTTGTTTGTTTGTGTTTTTCTTGCAGCAGAATAGACCTGTTAAGCTCCTTGCAAATGGGTGTAAATGTTTAGATGGGATCATGGTAAAATGGGAAAAGTATCTGGAAAAGAGCCACTGATGACTCCATAGACTGTAAGGGACTCGGGAAACCCCATCAGCTGAAAAAGTTGCACATTAAGAAAAGTATTAAGTGCCTTTTTTTTCTTGTTATGTAGTATGAAAAAGTTTCCACAAAGCCTACCTACATCGTCATCTCTCCTCTTCTTCATTGCACTCAAACCCATCAATTTCACAACTGTGCCTCTGAAAAGTCTGCAGCAGTTTTCTGGGGCAGATGGCATTAGGGAGCTATCCTGACCTTATCCACTCCCTCTAGAGTACACACACCACAGAGCACTTTGCTCTTGGCACAGTCAGTTTGCATTCATGCCTATTACGGAGAAAAGGTGTAATGCAGAGATATTCCTCATTAACATGAGGTACATGGCGCTGTTGCCATGCTAATTTAAGTATAAATATACAAAAAAAGTGCTGCAGAATTAAGTGGTTTTTAAAGGCTTTTACTGTTAAAAAAAAAAAAAAAAAAAGACAAGATTTCTGCACAGAAGTGGTTCATTTCATCTGCAGAAATCATGCCCAAAACCTTGGGTTTTTTTCCCCCTCAAATATATCAATTACTCTTTTCCCTGGTGATCCTCACCTCAATGGTATATGTCACTCTACAGATAATTATGGGAAGAGGAATGAGGCTAAAATTAATGTTCTATGTGAAAACCTGACTACAAATTTCACGCTTCCAAATCACAGCAGCGGCAAATGTTTCATCAAATCCCGTAAGTATTTCCAATCAAGTTCATGTTAAAGCTATGGGGCATAAACTACTCTCCAGTACTCATCTGGTCACTTTGTATTTATATATGCTTGAAAAGTCCTTTATAACTTGAGAAAGGTCTTTATAAATGAAATTTGTTTAACATGTACTTAGTTACTTTAAAATTCTCTTCAGATAATTCTCTAAAATATCTCTTCCACAGACGTGCATATTCAGGTCCTGGACTGAACACCATACTTGAGACTGTTTTACAGTAGAAGAGTAAGGTTTTATGGGAAAGTGAGATTATTTGAGGGTACTGTCTCATTCCCTTGCAAGTTCCTCTAAACCTCTGTGGCAGCACCTCCACAAGATGCTTTGCTATTTGTTCACAATGGTTCTAATCTTCTATAAGAAAACTTCAATAATGTTCTCCCCATTATGTGCTGTTTTTATTGTGGGTGGCAGTGCAGAGATAGTCAAAGGGAAAGTACAGATATTCTTCGAAGCTAAAAGGTTACAATAAATAGCAAAGGGAAATACTTTACCATGTACATGAGACTGCTGAAAACTTTTTCCTGGTGCAAAGTGAAAATTTCCAGCTACCTGCAGGAGATAATCATCTTTCATTAAAAAGGCTGAGTCCAAATAAATAAAACAATACTGGTGGTAGGGTATTTAAAAAAAAAAAGGCAAAACAAAACAAAAACAAAAATAAACAAACAAACAAAACCAAGTTATACACTAAGCAAGTCACTTTCACGGGTAACAATATAAACAGATGACATACTTGTGAATCTTCCTCACCACATTTTGTGGTAAGTAGCTCCATATTTGTTTGGTATCCAAGACAGCATGAACCAAAGTCTAGCTGGGTAAGTAAAAGATCTCAACTCCAGAAAAGAAGAATGTGGGCTCCAGAAAGGGTACAAGATACGCAAAAACAGAGAGTTAGGTTAAGTAAAAATGGGCCTGATTTCTAGAATGTATTTGGGTATGTAACCTTCATGTCCAACTCCTCTCAGTTAGGTAACTCTCCACATGATAGGTTCTATAGCTACTTCATATATCTTGTACTTAATTATAATGTACCAGTTGCACAACACAGGCAAACAGATGAATCCCTGTGTCTGCACCGTCTTAGACCACTTTCTGCTTTAACGATCATGTTCACTAGTCTTTTCTCCATTGGTTTTCTAAAGAAGATAACTTTTCACTCTATGCAGCATGACTGCTGACAAGTTGTGAATTATGGCTATCTCCACCAATGTCTCTGTTTTAGGACTAAACAAACAGGTGGGACATTCCGACATCAAAGTTGTGCCTCCCATTCTCCAGAAACTTACACAACAGGACTTGTTAGATGACAGGAAAAACTAAGCTTCTCTATGTTTCCTATCAATCCACGCAGCGAAACACAGAGAATGTTCTGCTTTCACTGCTTTTTTTGACTGCGATTTTGACTTTCCTCCTGCACTCTTTTAAGGACACAACTGCCTTCTGGAGAAAAAAGAACCCTTATGTTAGAGTACTGTGAACACCTAAGGCTGGAAAAAGAAAGGAACATTCAGAACTCTGCCTTTTCAAAGCCATTGCTAGGACAAAGCAAGTTACAAACAAAATCCATCTCTCACCTTGTTGACTTCTAGGAAACCATACACTTGACAGCCCTCATTCTTTTGTTCTTGCATTTTCTGGCTAAACCCTTCCCTCTTGCATTGCTCTATGGTATCTGGGTTCTTGAAGGCCCATCCTCGCCGCCTGTATGCTTCTCTGACATCATCACAAGTATTACAACACCTGCAAAATCACAAACAGCATCTTAGTATTTCTATCACTAGATAAAAAAATAATCTGCTCAGGAAATAAACCCTTGGTGGGTTTTTACTCTACAAAGCAATAAAACAGGTATCAGCAACCAGACCTTGAAGGTTTGCCTAATGCTGCTGAAAGATCGAGATTTTTGAACCACTTCTTGAGATTCTGACACAACAACAAAAATTATTTTAATGCTCTTCTTAAGTCAGAAATGGGCTTTGTCTGTCCACACAGCCATGTCACTCCTTTACAAAGAAATTTTCCCACTGTGAACATGTGTCCCACTGTGTGCTTATTTAAATTCCTACTCTTGGCAGTTTTAGGTCAAGGCAGACAAAATTGCAGGAAGGGCTAATGGGGAATTCTCTCCATTACTTTTCTACAAATGAAATACATCTTTGTCATCAGAAAAAAACCCACTGTTTTCTTTAGTGGTTTCATGTTGTGAAACCACTGAGTTTGAGAAGAAAAAGCTGAAGGGTAGAACCATGAATCCCTCATATGGAAACAACTCTGGGGAAAAGGTAGTACAGTTCCACATGAGCTTAAATAAGGATGCAGACAAGCTAGACAAGCTAACTCTGCATATTCCTGACAACCATGAGGGCAGTTCACCAATTATATTTTCAAAAGACGCACCTACAACTACAAGTTTTTAGAATACTCTGCACACAAATGCCCAGGATTTAATTCCATGAACCTTCATAGAAACTCTGAAAAGAGACATGCATGCAACATAATGGTATTAATTTCAATATGAAGAAGAAATGCTTATGCAGAAAGAAAGGTATAAAAGTTACCGGATGTCCTCTGACTCAGCCCCGTAACAGCTCTCACAACGATCAGCATCTAAAGAACTTGGATCAAACACTTTTTCTTCTTCTTTTCCCAGCTCTAAAACAAAATTGCATTCAAAGTGATAAGGTATATCTAGAAAGAGTATGGTGTACCTCTAATTTGTTTTCTTCTACATCAGTGACTGATTTACAATCAAATGCAAAGACTTTGAATCCAAAGTTGTGCCCTGCATGAAAAGCTCATGTGAAATAGCACACATAGAGGCTGCGAAGGTCAGAAGCACCTTATCCATGCCACATCCGCAGGAGTATTCAAGAGTATTCACCACAGGAGAAATTGGCTACCTATGAGCCTTGCTGGTCAACACGTTACTTACATAAAGGCTTTGATAAACATTGTTTATCAAATGTTTGTTTCATAAACGTTCCTAAAATAGAGTCATCAGTAAACTGTGGCTGATATAGGACTCCCTATATACACAAAATTTGAATTGCCCTCAAATTAGTTAAGACAGCAGTGCGTGATGCATAAACCTGTTCCAACATGGAAGCCGGCTGTGTTAGTGTTAGAAAGGTGCAAAACAGGCATGCTGCTCTTGCTTGGCTGGTTGTTTCAACTGCTATATAAAAGGAAGGTCATATGCAGAGGTTATATGAGCATTAAAGAAGGCTTAAAGAAAATGACTCTGTACCTTTCCACAGGCTACATGTGTGCATCTGTTGGAACAAGTGCGTTACAAACTGTTCTATGCTGCCTACAAACAAAGCTGGGTCTGTTTCTGTGCAAAGTAAGATGACAGCAGGAATCTCCTATCTGAAATACTGATACAGTCCTCCAAGATTGCAAAGCTGACGGTGTGCATACTCACATTAACAACTGCACACTAAAACGCTCCAAGCAACTTCTGTTTTCCTAGTGATTTAACAAACCTGTCCAAGTCTGTGCTCTAGACATGCAGGATGCGCCACCTCAGTATGGGGCACGTACGCTTACATCAAAACAAATACTAAAAGTGTGTAAATTTTGGAGTTAGGAATAAGCAAGCCAAGGAAGTCTTGAAAGCAAGCCAATGAAGTGATTCTGTGAAGTCTGTGTTTTAAGTTTCATTTTTTTTTTCCCCGAAAACACTGAAAGAACAATGGTTTTCATAAAAGAGGGCTCCCTTAGAGGCAGATCATTTCACTCCAGGAATCCTGAAGAGACCATGTCCAGAGAAACTCTTAGATTAAAAATGATCTCTAAAGCACTTCTGCACTACCTGTATAAGCCCCAAGACTACAGCTCCAGGGATAAATAACTGCCAGGTAGGGAATATGATATATGGTCAGATACTGCTGAGAAGATAATAAAATTTTACTACAGACTTAGTTATTAAGATTGAGAAACAAAGAGCAGGTGCATAAAGTGAATAGTAAGTATGAACATATTTCACAGAAAAACAGAATCACAGAATGGTTAAGGTTGGAAGGGACCTCTACAGATCATCTAGTCCAACCTTCCTGCTCAAGCAGGGACACCCAGAGAATGTGGCACAGGGCGGCATCCAGGCGGGTTTTGAAGACCTCCAGAGAAGGAGACTCCACAGCCTCCCTGGGCAGCCTGTGCCAGGGCTCTGTCATCCTCACAGTAAAGAAGTTCCTCCTCACATAGAGATGGAACTTCCTGGCTTTCAACTTACACCCATTACCCCTTGTTCTATCACTGGCCACCACTGAGAAGAGTTTGGCCCCTTCCTCCCTACATTCCCCCTTCAGGTACTTATACATATTAATAGGATCGTTTCTCAGCCTTCTCTTCTGCAGGGAAAACAGGCCCAACTCACTCAGTCTCTCCTTTTACCAGAGATGTTCCATTCCCTTAATCATCTTGGTTGCCCTCTGCTGGACCCTCTCTGGAAGCAACATGTCCCTCATACTCGGGAGCCCAGAACTGCCCACAATACTCCAGGTGCGGCCTCACCAGAGCTGAGTAGAGGGGCAAGACGCCCTCCCTCGTCCTGCTGGCAATGCTCCTCCTGATGCAGGCCAGGATCCCGTTGGTCCTCTTGGGGCTTCTTGGCCTTCTTGGGGCTTCATGGCCTTCTTGGCCATGAGGGCACACTGCTGACTCATGGTTAACTTGGTGTCAACCAGGACTCCCAGGTCCCTCTCTGCGGAGATGCGCTACAGCAAGTCAACCCCAAATCTGTACTGATGCCTGGGGTTATCCCTCCCCAGGTTAATATTTCATACTAAGCACAGAAAGTTTTTAAATGTAAAAATTAGAATGTATGAAGCCAGTGATTAACCTTACCTGTTATTTCTTTAATCAAATAGCTTATTGCATTTACGATCAAGCAAATATAAATCTTTAGGAAAATAAATACTCATAGGAAAATTTATTTCAGGAAAATGAATCAAACTGTGAGAGACTTCTTTTCTAAAGCTTACAGCATATACAGTAAATGAAATGATTCATTATTTACACAGTGGGTATTGCTTTCATCTTGTAATTACATTAAAAGATACTCTCAGAAAATATAGCAGCATAATTGTTGTCAGATTGGAACATCTTTTGAGTTGGAGCAAGAACAGAGCACATCTACTGTTACATGGTGTCCTTTGAGGTATATTACCCAATAACAATCTCTTTTAATGTAGCTAACAGCTGTCAAAGGAGCCGTCTCAAGGACAGCATCCAAAGGTAACACACGTATAGTTTACCTGCTACAAAGAAATCGCTATGCATAAAAATCCATATGTGATTTCTTGCTCTTTACATGGCCCTGAATTTGCATGCAGATCACACATATCAAACTACAAAATTTTATCTGTGGTTGAAAGGGAAGAACCACCAACCACAAAGACAATCACCTAGGATTAGTCTATATAATAAGAAGTTATCAAAGCACAAAATGCAACCTAGTACAAGAATCAGGAAATTTGGAAGTCATTTACTATTTTAGGAATAAAATAGTAGGAAAAACAGACATTATTAAACTTTGTATATATTTTGCTAAACAGAAGGTAATTATTATTACAACTGCAATTTAAATTAACTGACTGAATGGCAATGTTACTAAAAGAAACTGATGATCATACAGTTTAAGGAAGACAGGTGGACTCTTCTGAATGAATTTACAACATGGGGTAGTACTTTTTCAAGTCTGTAAAAGGAAAGAATTTGCTATAATTTGCTTTTTTTGTTGTTTTTCAGGAAAAAAATGAGTAGCTTCTAGGAGTTCCTCTTTCTCTGCACTAAGTAATTAGAGAAATAAGTCCAATGTAGTAAGCCAGATAGAGATGCTTACATGGTAACACATGTAAGGCAAAATGTTAACAGAAAGTAACAACCAGAAAAGACATTTTTGCCCCTCACAGATTTAATTTGTTATTACAGCCTTTGAATACAGAAAGGCTTCTAGACAATAACAGCCTGATTTAACTAAATATATTTATTAGATATTTATCAACACCTATGGAAAAAAAAGGTGCAAGTATAAGTTTAAGCACCGAGTCTCTGGAGTTCTCCCTGGAGAGATGCTCTTTCCTCTAACCAGGTTGATTCATTTTGTCTGCTTGTTGCAACGTAAAGAAATAACAAACTCAAAATGTTGACAGAAGAGCTCCATAACTTCTAGTAATAAAGAGACATTAATTTTGCTGTTTTACTCTTCTAGTGCATCTGTGACTTTTTGTCATAATTTCAGAGTAAGCAGACAAAAATTTAACTTGCAAAAGCAGTAAATGTAATAGGAGTTTGTCTGATTTGCCAGTTAGAAGATTTGGATGCTATGAACTCCAGTTTCAAGAGTTTATGATATTTAAGCACTCTTCAGTTGCCACTTGTTCCTGTGGAAGTCAAACATGCATAGAGTGATGGAAAAAACACTAGAGCATTCATCCAAGAAAGGCAGAATAGTGTATTACCATGTCTTTCAGCCTCTGGTGTCACACGATTGCCATCTTTATCCAAACGCTGTTTAAACAGATTATGTTCTACATCCAGTTGCTGTTCTCCTGCTACGTCCATTGCATCGATGCTCAAATCTGAAACCAGAAAGCAAAGTGGTTCATAAAAGAATATTTTTATAGCCTGTGGCAGTCTGAGGAAACATTCAACCAGTTCAAATACAGATTTTTTTCTGTATTGAGAAGGAGAGAAGAATGTGCAAAACTGAAGGATTATGCATGGTTTGGGTCAAGAGCCTTACAGGAAATAAAATACATAATAGCTGCATACTTAATGACCCCTCCAACTATGGAGGTTGGTTTGGTGTACAACTGCCACAGAAAATGTTACCCTGCTGGTTAATGTATTTAGGCAAAAAGAAACAAACAAACAAACAAAAAATTCCAGCAACAATGACCAAAAAAAAAAAAAAAGCCATTTGTACAAACATCAGTCCAGAAGTTAAGCTTGAAACCAATTCAAAGCCGCCTTCTTACCTTTATCCCATCCCCCCTTCCACCTGCTTCAACATCAGCACCTTTCCTTGTGAACCCTTTCCAAAGGGGATACAGGTCTGTGGCCTTGGCCTGATGCAAGGGACCTTAAGGCACTTGCTCGTAACGAGCACTCTTATAAAATGCAGAGCTGCTCTGAAGAAAAGTACAAGAGTCTTCCAGTGTCTCTGTCCTTCCCACTCCACTTTAAAAGTGAGTGAGGTAAAGAGCAGTAATATCTTGGGTGGTCAGAAGGAAGGTAGAGTCACTGTTTTTAAAGTCCAGTACACTATCCTAAAAACATTACTACTACTGAAAGAGGCAAGGAAGTTCACTAGACTTTTAGATAACTTGCAGAGCAGTAATACATGATAAGACTTGCAAGAGATATTTTAACAAAATTTTAAACTATTAAATCTACACTCACTTTATCCTGTAACTTTACTTGGTACTTTTAATTTAGATAAAAGTGATTCAGGCTATTAATACTCTTTCCACTTTTTAAATCCCTGTAAAACAGCTGTCACATTACATCAAACTTCAAGTACAAGAGTCATAGAAAAGTTGTCATGCTTCTTCCTAAGGAGACTCTGAAGTTCTTCAACTACAATACAGTCAGATATGTAGTCACAAGAAAAAAAAAGTGATAGCTTTTTCAGTATCACTGAGATTACTGCCAAGCAACCCAAATTAATGAGTATATTGTTACCCTCACTTATGGTCTATAAAAGTGTTACTGCAAGGCTGGTAGTGCTGGGATAAGCACCCCACGGGCCTTGCTGAAGTCACTGTGTAACCCCAAGGAATGACAAACTTTATTGTCCTGCAACAAGGACAGCACTGGATGCACTGAGTGTGTTCAGCCTTCAGCTGGCATGAAAAGAGCCTTATCCCCAGTGCTCAGAGGCTCCACTCACAAGCACAAGGCATATGTGGAAAGACAACATCTATATTGATCTTCAGTTTATCTCCTCTTGATTTGTCAACATATAATTCTGGGTGAACCTAGGAAAAAAAAAAAAAGATGCTGTCGTTTCATGTGGAAACACATCCAAGGCCCCATTCCCTTCATTTGTCTGTCTCAGGAGCTAGGACTTTCAATATGTGGAATCTGAAAGATGCTCAGGCCAGTACCTTCCACACTTCTGGTGTTAGCTATAATTTTACCATTTGTGTTACTTTTAAAAAGCAAGAAAATCATTTGGGGAGCTTAAAATGCGGGGATGGAGGAAACATCCTGTGGCTGTGTTTTGGAAGAACACAGCCACATTCAAACATTCACTGTTTGAATATCAGTGAGAAGATACAGAAGGTCCCTCTCGCTTGGAGACCATAAACCAAGTGTTGTCGTAGGGTGCGGGGAAGGAGCCCGGCCGCCCAAAGCTGCCGGGTGGGGAAACCAGCAGTGCTGGAGTGGAAGAGAAGCCAGAGGAGCGGCCAGGGGCCCCGCAGCCCCGCTCGTGCCACCCGCCCGGGCAGCGGCTGCGCGACCCGAGGGCCGGCGGGGGACGCGGCGGGAGCCGTCACGCACCTCCTTGGTGAGGTAGAACTGCAGCTCCGAGAAGAAGAGCAGCACCATGATGAGCCCGCTCACCACCGTCACTGCCGGGAGACGAGAGGCGCCGTGAGCCCGCGGGGCGCAGCCGCCCGCCCCGGCCGCCCGCCCCGGGCCCCGCCTCACCCAGCGCCCCGCCGCACGTCTTCACCCGAAAGTCTTCGAGGGTCTTGGGGAAGGCATCGAAGCGCTTGAGCCGCCACAGCGAGTCCATGGCGCCGTGCGGCCCGGAAGCAAAGGCGCCTTCCGGCGGCCGGCGCCTCCGCCCGCCCCAAGCACCGCCCCGGCCGGCCCCGCGCTCCCCGCGCGCGGAGCGGAGCGGAGCGGAGCGGAGCGAGCAGCCGTGCTCCCTGCGCGCCGCGGACAGCGGCCCGCGGTGCTCCATGGCTGCGGCTGCTGCGCGGGAGCGCCCTGGGAAAGCAGCTACCCCAGGGGGCCCTAAATGTGTCAATACGCAAGCGGACCTTAAGTTTTCACCCGCTCTGGCCCCTTCCTCCTCCCTCTGCTCCTTCCCAACCTACACTGTTGCCTCCCCGTTTTAATGGTCCAGAGCGTCAATGTAAATGTGCCAGGGCTTTTTGGTACCAAAAGAAGAAGAAAAAAATCCTACCACCCCTAAATTATGTATTTCTGGCTGTTATTTGCGCCCCTTTCATGTTTCTAACCCCTTACTCCTTATTTCTCCCTGGAGATACCTGTGAACTCAAGACATGAGTCGAGCAAGACTTATTCTCAGCTCAAAAAGTGAAAAACTGCTATAATCCTCTCTCAAGCCAGATATTTACCCACCTTTTGCCTCATGGTAGAGGGGTAGCAGAGTTCTGCAACATTTAAGTTTTCATTTGTAAACAACACCCAGAAAAGAAGCTGTCAATCGACTCTCTCCCTTCTGCTGTCCTCAGAAGAGTAATGAGCTCCTCACTGAATTCAGCAGAAAGAATTGATCCAAATTCTGAACATAAAGAATCTGATGAAAAATAGAAAGTCAGGGTATGGACACTTTTTTTTGAGAAATAAATTTATTGAAAAAATAACACACAAAAAAATCTTTGTAAACAGTACGTAAGTTGGCAGGTATGACCTAACACTTGGAGGGCTACCTAGGCCCTGATGAAGCATGCCATGGAGTGCATCAGGAAAGGAAGATGATTCTACCTGCTCATCACATTTATCCCCCCACTTCCCAGGCATATGATCAACCCCAGCCACACAAGCCTGCACCAGTCTATCCCAGCACTGCTCCAATGGGGTAGCTGTCACAGTGAACACCATGCTCTGAGCTTCTGTCTTACCTCAGAACTCGTGATTCCATTAAATTCCCCTGCCATAGTTCACCTCCTGTACCCTGGTTACATCAGCTCATCACACCTGGCAGTTCCAGCTGTCGAATGCGGCAGCTGTTTCTCAGGAGACTGACAGTCCACAAGTGTTAATGCCAAGTTATGATTCAGAGACCGATCCAGCTTCTGAGTCTCTGCCTCCAGAACAGCAGCTCTGGGCTCCCTGACCACAGCTTCTAAGGAGTAGGACAGCTCTTGGTGAAGGTCTAACAGTTCCTGATTGGTCTTCGCGCAGCACTCAACATAGTCCTGTTTATATTTTCGTTCCCGTGCCAACTGCTTCTGCAGAAGGGACACCTGAAAGAGGCAAAAGGCGAGGCTCGGACAAGTCCAACTTGTCACTATCACTGTTAATTCCAAGGTATCATTTATTACGAGAAAAGCATACTCTTAATTCCAGCTCTGACCAACACCTTGTTGGGTGGGAAGTAGTGGGAAGTAGTATGGGAAGTAGTAAGCTCAGGATGGGCTTGAATGGGAAGTAGTAAGCTCAGGAAGCCACACTGAATTGAACTTAGATTATGATCAGTTTAGGTTTCTTTCTGGTGTACCACGTACAACACCAGGATATTAAAGCAAGAGGTATCTTCCGACAAGATTTAGGAAGCCAATTCTTCCCCCCCCTTCAAAAAGAAAGATTTGTGCTACTGACACTTTAGTTCCACATCCTTTTTTTTCTCAGCAGCAGTATCAGTCACTTCATCACTGTGAGACTGGTTGCTCAGGGGCCAGGTACATAGCTAATACTTCACAGCTATCACATGCAAAAGGAGCAAATTCTTTTTCAACTTTACAGCATTTTACATTATCAGCAGAACACAGAACAGAATTTGATGAACAAGGTCAGGGAACAACGAATTCAAAGGGATTGCTGAGGCTCAAGGGGAAGGATGTTCATTTAGCTATCTGTAGTAAAACAACTTTAGATACCCAGGATTCCCAGTAAAAACATCCTCAAGTGGTAACTTGCTGGCTTCAGGAGTATTCTCTCTGTTCCAGAGCTAAATATCATCTTCTACTTCACCTACATAAATATTATATGCATTTGCCTTTAGCATGTGTGAACATTCATATCCTCCAGAGGACAAGGGTGTACTTGACCCCTAAAAGTATGTGGAAGAGAAATCTGGAGAACTGCTGATACGGTCAGTACCCTCATCACAGGAGGCAACAGGGCTCAGTAGTTGTAATGTACATTCTTACACTGATAAAACAAATATCCTTATAGTGCTTATGGCCTCTCAGCTGAGTATTAGCACCATGATTAACATAGTTATCTAGATTCCGGTGAGTTCAAGTTTTCTGAATTACCTGCAATGTCCCCCCCTCCCACCACACAAACAACACACCTGGCCACTAGGCAAGTCAGAGACTAGACCTAGATGAATGCTGTTGCTTGGGTATGAACAGCAAATGTTGCTAACTGCATATTTCCATCACCTTCCTCAAAGTTTGGAACCACTTAAACAAAACTTGTGCTAAAACATTATAGAAAATTGTGCCCACTAGTGCAGCTACAGATTTTCATGAGAGCTTTTTTACTTCTCACCTGATTCTGTAACTCAGTTAATCGTCTGCAGAGAGCATGAGCCTCCTCCTGGAAAGAAAATGCAATGGTTTATTTTCAGTCTCTAGTCTGGTCATATTATCTGTTATTAGTGAGGGCTGTTGCCACTAAGATTTATCGTAGTCTCTCTGCATGGTCAGACCTGCCTCCCACCAAGTAAGATTTTGTTCAGACCTGTTCAGAAGCAGGCATCTTGTCCTGGTCTGACTCAGAAAGAGAAAACTTGCACATATCCGGTAGTGACTGACCAGTATAATCCCTCTTCAGTCTCCTCCGTTCACGCTCCACCTGCATATTGGATAGGAGAAAGGGTCACAGAAACCTGCCACCAAAGAAGGAACAACTAGACCTCTGAATATCATTGTTTAAGAGGAGATTTATGTTCAGAGACTATTATTTCATCAGAGAAAGTTGGGAACAAAAAGCAGTCAAGACTATAGGGAAAGGAGAGAGCAAAAGGATATAGTTCCTGACATAAGAATATCAGGAACAGGCAAACATTTATGAGAAAACCAGAGCAGGAGAGGAGATACTTGAATGTATATGTTCCTGTGCAGACAGTGGAGTGCAGGAATGAAAAAGAAAATATTAAACTGCACATACACAGGGGAAAAGTAGGTGGAAGAATACAAGAGATACAAGAAGTGGACCACAAAGCACTCTTTGTAGGAATATGCATGTTCCAGAGAACCATGAAGATTTGCAGAAGTAACGAGAGACAGTTTTCAACCAGGTGTCATTGTTAGTCCGCCACGACAGCAACATCTACCTGATCAAGAGTCCTTCTGAGCTCAGCGTTGAGTTGCTTCAGCTCAGTTTTCTCATGTTCCAGTCTTGCAACCGCTCGCTGCAGAGATTCCAGACGTTGCTGCATGAGTCTTTTCTCAAAGAGCCACGATAACAGTTCTCTTTCTGCACTAGCTTGCTGAGTATACAGAGAGAAGTTTATGCAAGCTGGTGCCATGTTAACATCAGAAGGATTAGAAAAAACAGATCTTCCTCCCCTGCACTCTATGTTCTTTCACTCCTCACCTGTGCAGTTTTGTCATGCTCTTGTCACCCACCAAAGATGCCTAGAGAAGAGTTTGAGAAGGAGACAATAACACAGGAAGATTTCCTGGCCTCCAGTATCTTGTAGTACTGGGACTTCCTAAGCCATACTCAACAGCCCCTGAATAGATTCTTCCTCCACAACTTTGTCCATTTTTTTTTAAATCTTCATATAAACTTTCAGTAACTGTCTTCAGCAACTTCAGTACCACAGCTTAAGCACATGAATGGAAAAAGTCTCTACCTCTGTTCTTTCTACAAAACCTTCCTGCTAGTTTTGCTCAGTATCCTCTCTTCTGGTTTGGAGAGGGACACTTCCTACTGAGCTTGCTTAATGATTTCATAAAGGTCCATCATCTCCCTCTTCCATCAGTCACCTCTTTCACTTACTGAAGACTTAGATATTCAAGTTTCTCATATGAAAGCTATTTGACACTTTTAATCATCTTCTCTGACCTTCACTGCATAATCTGCTGTCTTTAGTTCTACTTTCCTTGGAGACCCAAACCATATGCAACATACAAGATGTAGATGAACCATGTATTTCTGCAATGATAAACTATTAGGTTTTTGTCCTCTGTTCTTTTCTTCATTGTGTTCTCCTGACCACTGCTGAGCACTAAATTGTTGTTTACATAGATTTAACTGTAATTCAGAAATCTCTTTGCTAAGGAGTTACATATCAGCCCAGAGCCCATCTCTGTGAATATAATGCATATACCTATTTCAATTTTAATTTCATATTTATCTTCTGTTTTCACACAGCTACTTGTTACTGTTTATTTGCTAAGTTTCCTCTACAGATATTTCAATATGAGTCACCTCCTCTGATCCCCCCTTGCACAAGAACCTCCCTCAGTGCCAAAATCCATAGTGAAATGGATATGAAAAAGTCATGTAGTTTTTCTGATATCTGCAATCACAGTTTTGCTGAACAGCTATATATTCACAGGAAACACCACAAGAATCTTTTACAGGCATCTTAGTTGACTGATGATCAGTCACACCGCCTACCTGAAAGTGAAACCGGTCCTTGTCCCTCTCTGAAACCATATTCTGTAGAATGGCTATTTCTTCCCTTAAAGAGCTATTGGCCATTTCACTCTTTGTAAGGGCAAGAGTCAGTGTTTGGGCCTTCTCTTTCCATTCTATTTCTCCACTTTCTGTCTGCTTCAAAATAGCAGTCACACGTTCCAATTCCTTTCCCTTTACTTTCCTCTCATCTTCCAGTTGTTGGGCTAGCTCATTCTGCCTTTTCAGGAAATGGTCTCTCTCCTGGAGAACTTTCTTCTTTTCCGCTTCTTCTTCCTCCCATTTTTGGAGTTTCTGAATTTTTTTCTTTAGAGTCTCCCCTTCATCTTTCCATCGCAAAGCTGACGTTAATTGTTTCAGGAATTCACTCTGCTTCCGAAGTTCTTGCTCTCTCCTTGTCAGAGTCTTCTCTAAATACCTAACTCTCTCTCTCTGGTATTTGATCTCTTCATCCTTCTTGACCAGAGTATGCTGAACATGCTGCAGATCTTCCTGAAGACCTCTCATTGCCTCTTTCTCCAATCGCTTTTGTTCACCTTGAGCCTTAGTCTTTTGCTCTCTCTCATTTAAGATTTCTTCCAGGAGCTTCTCTTGCTCTCTGGGATATCTATTCTCTTCTTTCTCTTCAGTCAGCATAACCTGGAGATTTTGCGAGGTCTTCAGTTCTTCTTTGAGCTGAAGTTTTCGTCTAAGAGTTTCATTGTCTTCATCTCTCCTCTTCACCATTTCCTCAAGCAGACTCACTTGCTTTTGGCAAGATGTTAGTGCTACTTTCATACTTTCTTCACGAAGATGGTACATGTTAATTTGTTTTATCTGACTGAGGAACTCCGAACTCTTGCTTTTCACTGTCTGGATCATTTTATCTACATCCTGTAGATCTTTAGCCTGTTTGCCATCTAATACCTTCTGCTCTAGAAGCTCCTGGACATGCTTTTGTAAAGACATGATCTCCTGCTCTCTAGCTTCTAGAGAAGATTCAGCATCTTTTAGTTTATTTAGTAAAGCTTTAGTCTGCATCACTGTCTCTTCTTTTTGCTGCTGAAGCTTAAAAATAGCCTCTTCCAGGAGCTCTATCTTTCTTTCTCTCTCTTTCAGAATTGCTTCTGTTTCTTGAAGATTTGCTTGCTCAGCTTTGTGCTGCTTCTGCTTTTCCTTGTATTCCTCACATTGCTTCTTAAGGGAGGCATTTTCTTGCTCTTGTTCCTTTACTGTCACTTTAAGATGTTCCAGAATTTTCCTCTGCTGTTCAGAGTCTCTTTCTTGTTTTTGGAAGGTCTCAATCAGATTCTTCTGAGACTCAATCATGAATTCTCTTTCTCTCAAAATTGCCTTACAGTCTTCCAAGTCTCTATGTAAAACTTTCATCTGGTTTTCTGTTTTTTCCTCATATTTCCTTGTTTGCTGTATCTGCCTCTCTAGGTGCTTGTCCTTCTCTTTTAAAGTTTCTAATGTCTGCTCCAGTTGGTCATGGACAGTCTTTAACTTGGTTTCCATGGCTGTTTCAGATTCCTGGATTTGTTTTTGCTGCAATTCAAGCTTTTGATCTCTTTCAGATACAGAAAGTGTCACCTTTACTAATTCACCGTGCAGCTCTTGTAGGTACCCATCCTGCTGTTCCTTGTACTGCTGAAAACATCTTAACTGATCCCTTTGAGACTCAGTCTCACCTTCTCTGTTCCTGAGAACTGCCCACAGATGTTCTAGGTCTGCATGTAGAGATTTCACTTCTTCTCTCTTCATTTCCAGTTCATGGGCCTGCTGAGCCTGAGACATGAGCTCTAAGTTTTTCTCCTTCAAGTTTGTCTTCATATGATCGAGTTCCTCTAGCAGATGACTTACTTGTGATGCACCATGTTCTTCTAGCGCCATCATTTTCCTCTCTTGGAATTTGATCTCCCGGTCTCTCTCTTCCACGTCTTTGCTCATCTTACTTAGAGCACTCCTTTGCATTTCATGCTGCAACTCTAGCTCCTGTATTTGTTTTTGCAGGGATCTAATCTCCTGATCTCTCTCCTCCAGATCCTTCCTCATCTTGCTTAGAGCAGTCCTCTCCATTTCATGCTGCTCCTCCAGCTCCTGTATCTGTTCTTGCTGCATTCTGATCTCTTGGTCTCTCTCCTCTAGGTCCTTTCCCATCTTTCCTACAGTAACAGTCTGGTGTTCCTGCTGCTTCTCCAACTCCTGTATCTTTTCCTTCTGGGATCTGATTTCCTGGTCTTTCTCCTCCAGGTCCTTGCTGGTGTTGCTTAGAGCATTCCTTTGTATTTCTTGATTCTTCTCCAGCTCCTGTATCTGTTCATTCTGCGTTCTGATCTTCTGGTCTCTCTCCTCCAGATCCTTCCTCATCTTTCCTACTGTAATAGTCTGATGTTCCTGCTGCTTCTCTAACTCCTGTATCTTTTCCTTCTGGAATGTGATCTCCTGGTCTTTCTCCTCCAGGTCCTTGCTGGTGTTGCTTAGAGCATTCCTTTGTACTTGTCGCTGCTTCTCCAGCTCCTGTATCTGTTCTTGCTGATTTCTGATCTCTTGGTCTCTCTCCTCCAGATCTTTCCTCATCTTTCCTACAGTAACAGTCTGGTGTTCCTGCTGCTTCTCATACTCCTTTATCTTCTCATGTTGGGATCTGATTTCCTGGTCTTTCTCCTCCAGGTCCTTTCTGCTGTTGCTTAGAGCATCCCTTTGTATTTCTTGATTCTTCTCCAGCTCCTGTATCTGTTCATGCTGCGTTCTGATCTTTTGGTCTCTCTCCTCCAGATCTTTCCTCATCTTTCCTACAGTAATAGTCTGATGTTCCTGCTGCTTCTCTAGCTCCTTTATCTTTTCATGTTGGGATCTGATTTCCTGGTCTTTCTCTTCCAGGTCCTTTCTGCTGTTGCTTAGAGCATTCCTTTGTATTTCTTGCTTCTTCTCCAGCTCCTGTATGCGTTCTTGCTGGTTTCTGATCTCTTCGTCTCTCTCCTCCACATCTTTCCTCATCTTTCCTATGGTAATAGTCTGGTGTTCCTGCTGCTTCTCCAGTTCCTGTATCTTTTCCTTCTGGGATCTGATCTCCTGGTCTTTCTCCTCCAGATTCTTTTTGGTATGGCTCAGAAAACTCCTCTGCATTTCTTGCTTCATTTCCAGTTCCCATATTTGTTCCTGCTGGGTTCTGATCTCTTGGTCTCTCTCTTTCAGGTCCTTGCTCATCTTTCCTACAGTAATACTGTGTATTTCTCGCTGCTTCTCTAGCTCCCATATCTGATCATTCTGGGATTTGATCTCCTGGCCTCTCTCTTCCACATCTTTGCTCATCTTACTTAGTGCACTCCTTTGCATTTCACGCTGCTCCTCTAGCTCCTGTATTTGTTTTTGCAGGGATCCGATCTCCTGATCTCTCTCCTCCAGATCCTTCCTCATCTTGCTTAGAGCAGTCCTCTGTATTTCACGCTGTTCCTCCAGCTCCTGTATTCGTTCCTCCTGGGATGTGATCTCCTGGTTTCTCTCCTCCAGATGCTTCCTCATCTTTCCTATAGAAATACTCTGTATTTCTTGCTGCTTCTCCAGCTCCTGTATCTGTTCGTGCTGGGTTCTGATCTCTTGGTCTCTCTCCTCTAGGTCCTTCCTCATTTTTCCTACAGTAATAGTCTGGTGTTCCTGCTGCTTCTCTAGTTCCTGTATCTTTTCCTGATGGGATCTGATCTCTTCCTCTTTCTCTTCCAGGTCCTTCCTGGTGTTGCTTAGAGCACTCCTGTGTCTTTCCCGCTGCTTCTGTAGCTCCTGTATGCGTTCTTGTTGGGATCTAATCTCCCAGTCCCTCTCCTGCATGTCCTTGCTTGTCTTAGTTAGAGCACTCCTCTGTATTTCTTGCTGTTTCTGCAGCTCTTCTATCTGTTCTTGCTGGGTTTTCATCTCCTGGTCTCGCTCTTCCAGGTCCTTCTCCATTTTGCTTATAGTAATTGACTGCATTTTGTGCTGCTTCTCCAGTTCCTGTATCTGTCCTTGCTGGGATTCTATCTTCTTTTTTTTCTCTGTTTTATCTTTAATAACGTCATCTAAAGTACTTTGAAGCATTTTGTTTTGATTTTCCAGCATTCTGATCTTTTCCTCATGCAATTTAATTTCTCCCTCCCTCTTTGATACGATGGCTGTCAGGTGAGTAAGATTTTCCTGCAAAGCTTTCGCCTCTGCTACCTCCTTCTGGAGCATCTGGATTTTCTCCTGTTGAGCCACCATTTCCTCGTTTTTAATTGTCAGGACAGATAATGTACTTTGAAGTTCTTGTTCAAGGGAGTGTTTCATATTTGTTGCTGCATTTGCTCGAGCTTCAGAGGCTGTGACAGATTCCTGAAGAAGTTTTATCTCCCACACCATTTCTTCCTTAACTGTTTGCAGTGTGTCTTGCTCATGCTGCAACAAATGAGACAAAATTCAATAATTCAGTTTTTTTTATATATATATATACACACACACACATTTATACATACATGTACATGTATGTATGTATGCTTGTTTTTCATACTAGATTTAAGCTCCTGCTTTGGTGACTGGATGACATGATGATCAAAACCTGCCACTTAAACTTTTAGTAGAAAAATTTATTCAGTTAGTTTCCCTATTACACTTAAATTTTCAACTTTCTTTCAAAGAGTGAGTTGAGAATTGGACTATCTTTAGCAAGTTCCATCCACGACTGATTCTGCAGTCACTGTAAATGATTGAACTGGCTCAAACCAAGGATCCTTCCTGCCTAGTATTCTATACAAAAATATGGCTGTAAGTCCATACCTTGGAAGAGCAAGAATAGGGCAAGCTTATACAGCTTTCACAGTCTCTTTCTGAAAACATATAAACTTTTTGCATTAACAACACTTAAAACATCCATTTGGAAAGGGTTTGCATGTCTGATGAATTAAGAAAAAATACCTCCATTCATTTGCTTGCAGCCTAACTGCCACTAGCTACCTCTGATGGCCCTTGTTCTTCCATTGGAAAACAGTGGAATGTGCCTGCCTGCTTTCTCCCTGCCACTCAAGATGTTGTAAAGCTTTCCTATGCCACCCTACAGGCCATTTTTTTCCTCAGCTGAAGAATCTCAGACTACTCAGCTGGTCCTTTCTTCCTTTTCCTTTTTGCAGAGCCTCTTTTTCTCAGAACTGCTCCCAGGATTAAGGTCCAGGATAACTGTGATATAGGAAATGGCATGATACTATTCTCTCTACTAGGAAGGGAAGAGAGAACAATACAATAGTTGTCAACAATATTGACAATTATATAGTTGTCAACTGTATTGAGCTGAACAATACAATTTTTTTACTTCTGCTAAATAGTGATTTCATGAAACCAACCACCTGAACTCCACTGCCTTCCCTTTTGAGAGCTAATGGTGAGACTGCAGCCTTAATGGTGAGACTGCAGACTGGAATGTGGCCATGGAGGGCTACAGGCTTTTCAAGAGGGACAGGGCAGGAAGGCAAGGTGGCGGAGTTGCTCTTCATGTGAGGGAGCAACTGGAATGCTTAGAGCTCAGCGTAGGAGAGGATGGAATGCGAGTAGAGAGCCTGTGGGTGAGGATAAAGGGGCAAGCCAGCAGGGGTGACACGGTGGTGGGAGTTTACTACAGGCCTCCTGACCAGGATGAGGAAGTGGACGAAGCCTTCTACGGGCAGCTGCAAGAAGCCTCCCGATCCTCCTGGGGGAGGCCCTGGTCCTCCTGGGGGACTTCAACCACCCTGATATCTGCTGGGAAAACCACATAGCCAGGAACAGACAGTCCAGGAGGTTCCTGCACATCATTGCAGATAACTTCTTGACGCAGGTGGTTGAGGAGCCAACAAGGGGAGGGGCACTGCTAGACCTGATACTAACAGAGATGGTCTAGTGGGAGACGTGAGGGTTGGGGCAGTCTGGGCTGCAGCGACCACGAGATGTTGGAATTCACGATCCGGCGTGGAGGAGATGGGGCAAGAAGTAGGATAGCTACCCTGGACTTCAAGAGAGCCAACTTGGACCTCTTCAGGGAGCTCCTTGGAGCAGTCCCCTGGGTCAGGGTCCTAGAAGGAAAGGGAGTCCAGGAGAGCTGGCTAATATTCAAGCGCCACTTCCTCCAAGCTCAGGATCGGTGTATTCCCACAAAAAACGTCGAGTAAGCGGGGCAGGAGACCTGTATGGATGGGTGAAGAATTACTGGGCAAAGTGAATGAAAAAAAAAAGAGTGTACAGCTTGTGGAAGAAGGGACAGGCCACGTGGGAGGAATACAGATACGAAATGAGGAAGTCCAAAGCCCGGGTGGAATTAGAGTTGGCGAGGCATGTCAGGGACAACAGGAAGGGTTTCTGTAAGTATGTCAACAGCAAGAGGAAGACAAGGGAAAATGTTAGTGCACTGCTGAATGGGGAAGGGGCCTTGGTGACGGAGGATGCCGAGAAGGCAGAGTTACTAAATGCCTTCTTTGCCTCTGTCTTTACTGCTAAGGCAACCCGCCATGAACTGCAGGGCTCCAACAGAAGAGATATAAATGGGCTAAAGGAAGACCTTCCACGGGTTGAGAAGGATTGGGTTAGGGATCACTTAGGCAAACTGGCCACCCAAAAATCTATGGGCCCAGATGGGATGCACCCAAGAGTGCTGAGGGAACTGACCGAGGTTATTGCTCAGCCTCTCTCCATTATCTTTGAGAGGTCCTGGAGAACAGGGGAGGTGCCCGAGGACTGGAAGAGAGCCAACGTCACTCCAGTCTTCAAAAAGGGCAAGAGGGAGGAGCCGGGCAATTACAGGCCGGTCAGCCTCACCTCCGTCCCTGGAAAGGTGATGGAGCAGTTCATCCTAGAGACAATCTCCAGGCATATGAAGGAGAAGAAGGTGTTGAGGAGCAGTCAGCATGGATTCACCAGGGGGAAGTCATGTCTGACGAACCTCACAGCCTTCTATGATGGGATGACAGGCTGGACGAGGGGAGAGCCGTGGATGTTGTGTACCTTGACTTCAGCAAGGCTTTTGACACTGTCTCCCATAATATCCTCATACGGAAGCTCCGGGACAGTGGACTAGACGAGTGCACAGTGAGGTGGATCAAGGGCTGGCTGGATGGCAGAGTTCAGAGGGTGGTGATAAATGGGGCCGAGTCCAGTTGGAGGCCTGTGGCCAGTGGTGTCTCCCAGGGGTCAGTACTGGGCCCGGTGCTGTTCAGCCTGTTCATCAATGACCTGAATGGGGGCACGGAATGCACCCTGAGCAAGTGTGCRGATGACACCAAGCTGGGTGGAGTGGCCGACACTCCGGAGGGCTGTGCTGCCATCCAGAGGGACCTGGACAGGCTGGAGAGTTGGGCAGAGGGGAACCTCATGAGGTTCAATACGGATAAGTGCAGGGTCCTGCACCTGGGGAGGAATAACCCCAGGCATCAGTACAGATTAGGGGTCGACCTGCTGGAAAGCACCTCCACGGAGAGGGACCTGGGAGTCGTGGTTGACACTAAGTTAACCATGAGTCAGCAGTGTGCCCTCGTGGCCAAGAAGGCCAATGGGATCCTGGCCTGCATCAGGAGGATGTTGCCAGCAGGTCAAGGGAGGTGATTCTGCCCCTCTGCTCAGCTCTGGTGAGGCCGCACCTGGAGTACTGTGTGCAGTTCTGGGCACCCCAGTATAGGAGGGACGTGGAGCTTCTCGAGAGGGCCCAGAGAAGGGCAACTAGGATGATTAAGGGAATGGAACATCTCTCGTATGAGGAGAGGCTGAGTGAGCTGGGCCTGTTTTCTCTGGAGAAGAGAAGGCTCAGAGGGGATCTGATTAATATGTATAAGTTCAGGAAGGGAGAATGCAGGGAGGAAGGGGACAGGCTGTTTTCACTGGTGGCCAGCGACAGGAAGGTTGGACTAGATGATCTCTAGAGGTCCCTTCCAACCTTAAGTATTCTGTGATTCTGTAATTCTTCTGTGTTTGAAACCAGGACCATTTTTCCCTTGCAGACATATATATTTATCTATCAGCTGTTCTGTTTCTCAAATTTCTCCCACAGTCTGCCCACATCTGTGAAACGCTGAAAAAGTTTCCATTAGTTGCAAAATTTGTCTCCTCAAATCCTCTCCCACATCACTTATGAATATAAATAGAGATTATTTCATCACAACCAGAAAATGCACAAGCCATGCAATGTAAATAGAGACCAGGTTCAAAAGTTATCTTGACTATGCTTAAAGGGCAGAAATCTTCAGGACTGAGGTAAACAAAAAGCCTAAATCATAACTGAGTTTTACATGACTCCAGCATGCTTTCATAATTATGCTATTAGGAGACCTATTAGGAAAGTTAAAGAAAAAAAATATCACTAATATAAATATTGTTCTTCTGCCCTTGCACTGCCTGTGTTCTCTCCAGATATGCTTCTATTCATCTTAATTGAGGTTAACTCAACTTTTCATCTTAATGTTTTTCCTTTCTAAACTGACTACTCTTATTCAAAGCGATGGCTCTGTAGATGTAGCTGCATGGCCTGGCAAACAAGAAATGAGGAGCAGATGAAAGGGGAAAATGAGGAAAATTTGATCAATATTGTATATTATGTACATTATTATATAAAGTTCTTAACTACCTCCTGATTTTCAAGCTTCTCAGAACTGGACCAAATTCATACAGAACAACCTAGTACTGAAAAAGCTGTTTTTCAGAACATCAACAGAAGGCCCATAAAATATTCCTTTTATGGCATCTGTTAGCCTCACCAGGACTTCCTTTCTTTGCTTCTCAGAGCTCTCAAGTCTTCTTTCCAAAGATGTCACTTCTTGATGTAGGGTCACAACCTCCTTCTTTAGAGCAACAGCCTCTTCCTGCAAGGCAGCTTGCAGAGAGTTTTTCTTGTCTTCCGCCACCCGTGTCTCTACAGGGGTAAAGGTCAGGGAGAAGAGGAAAAAGCAAAGCAAAACCAAGCTGATTTGCATCCAAGGGAGAAAACATTTTCCCACCTGACTGTATTTTACCAGACCTAGATCCAAATTGACTTTCCAATAAAACTAGGAAACTAGGAAAGGACAGAAACATTAGATACTAGACAGAAGCAGAAAAAAAGGATGTATAGTGGAAAAGAATAACATAGGAACTTAACACTAACACTCCATGAAACTGCAAAAGGAAAAGACAGTCAGCTATGGTAAGATTTCTCAGGTTGGGATATTCAAAGGGCATATGGAGAAAGATTTTATGATACATCAAGCTACATTTCCTTTGCAGTGACATATAACCTGAAAGGCACCTGCTTTACACATGCATCACCAGCCAGCCACTAGATCCTGCACTATGAAAAGCTCTCAACTCTGCTTGCTAATTATCATCATCGCTAATTCTAGGAACAAGACTCATGTTCCTTATTTTTCTTTTTCAATTTATTTCTTTTTTCTTTTCCAATCTCCTGGCACTGCATTTTTCCCACTGCATGGTATCAGAACTCCCTGCTGGTGAGACAGGATGGACTCGGTGCATTGGAAATGGAGGCAGTACCTTCCTGGCTTTGGGCCAACAGTTTCTGTAACTCTAGATTGCGTGCACTGAAGTGATCCCTCTCAAACAGCCTCTTGTTCAGCTCCAGTTCCAGCTCCTGTGACTTTTTTCTGGCATCATTCTGGAGGAAATAAGAAGAATGGTATGAGCAAACAGAGCCACAGCTGGAAGGAGATAAAAGGAGTATAAAAGCTAATGGAGAAATAAGCCAAGGCAGGGATGGGACCAGTTGGACAGCAGTGGTAGCTGTGGTCATGATTCTCCTTTCTCCCGATGGCAGCAAGCAAATCTGGCCTACATGAGAGCAAGAATTTAAATCCATTCTGCTTTTGGCAGTCTGCTTGTCAGATCAGCTCAGCAGAGATAGGATTTCTGGTTGTACTACAGAGACACATTACCAAATCTTGTTGAGTGTGCTTCAGATCCTGGTGTAGATCTCGTAAGACTGCAGCCACTCTGTCCACTGTGATGTCTACGGGGAGATCCCTGGCCTGAGAAACAGTTAAGGCCCAGGCATGATCCTGTTCTGAAGAAAGAAGCCATTCTGTTTCAAGCTTTAATTGGAAGATCTCCAAAAAGAGAGACCATTTGTACGCAGAAGGTGCCAGTGCATAAAAGGCTGCCCTAGAGAGTATACTACAGCAAGAATGCATTACAGGCTAACATTACTTTGCTGCACACTAATGTCAGCATTGTCCCAGAGAAGATGCAGAGGCACTTCCACATCACGGGCCCCATTTCAAGCTGAGGCTGGTCATTTCTCACATACAGACATGGACTTTTCTCTGAGCAGACACCTCAGGCATTCATGACTTCTTCAAAGCATGGGTCAGTCTAAGCCGAAGGGATAAGTCTATGAGGATCACAAAGCACCACCCCTCCCTCCACTTGCTCTCCTATACACACTCCAGAGACTTCTCAGTCCAGCCTCCCACACTTGCCTGAAGTCCGAGTGACCAAGTCTCTGCTGGTATCAGTGCTGTCACAAAGCATGCGACGGAGAACCAAATGCAGTTGGTCCAGCTGGGCCTGGGCTTCACAGTGGGCACTGTTAGCCTGCTGGCACTCTGTAGCCAATGCCTTTGCTCTGTTCTCTGTGCTACAGAGCCTCAGTTGAAGTTCAGACATCTCAGCCTCCAGCACTCTCAAAGAGTCCCTCAAGCATCGTTCACCTGCTCGGGACTGCTCTAGATCCTCTAACAGCTGCTTCTCCCGAGTCACCAGGCCAGCCTCTTTTTCAAGCATCATTTCCTGCAGTGACTGAACCTGAAACAGAGACGCACAGAGTCTCAGGGACAGAGCTGCTTCCGAGGTAACAGAGCAGAAAGTAGGAAAAACAGGAGCAGAAACCACTTGAAGCAAATATGACACAAACGACAGAAAGACAAAAAAAAAGAAAAAAAAAAAAAAGGATTAAAGTAATGCCAAAATGCCAAGTAGAGAGTAGTATAGAAACAGACATCTAGAGGCTAAGGAGACAAAAGGAAGTTTCCACAAACCCAAGGAATGACCCACTCTCCAATCACAGAAATGAATGTACACGCTTGTGTTTAGGTGAATGACTGCCAGAATAAGGTGGCAGATCAAACATCCCACGTGAGTGTGGCAGCTGCCAAAGACAACTGAAAGCAAAAATAAAGGGGAGACAATCAGCATCCCATATCGTGCATCTCCAAAATGCTCCAAGATGAATGGGCTGCTATCGAAGTGCCTTCTACAGAAGGAAGTAACCATTTCTGTCTCACCAGATTGCTAGGTGCCCTTCAAGAGGTGGAAGAACCATCTAGGGACAAGTTATAACAGAGATACTGAAAAGCTCCAAAGGAGTCTTCTGTTTCTCCTCAGACACTTAATACCTTGAACCATGAGAGATTAGGGGAAATTCTGGGGAGAATAAAGTAGAGATTCAGCCTTGATTTCAATGTGCAAAGTCTGTGGGCTGAAGGAACATGTGATGCTGGGAAGGGAAACAACTCACTGCCTGCAAGTTGAAGGTGATATTCAAAAGAAGAGGATAGTAGAGCAGAGGGCACCTGGTTGTTGAGCTCATGTATCTCTCTTCTGTGGTCTGAATGGAGCTGCTGGGCCTCATTAATGGCAGACAGCAATTTAGACACCTCATTCTGCTGGGAAACGCTGTTTTCTTCTAGGGTTCTGAGGGTTAGTTCCTTTTTTTCCAGAGACAGAGTCAGCCTGAAAGAAAGAACAGGCACCTCATCGTTACACTGTATAATATTTAATAAACCCTCAGGACTCGCATCATCAATAACAAAAGTGCTTTGCCTGCTGAACTTTATCTGATTGAGCAGTCATACCCAAGCACGTACGTCTATGCTTGTTTCCACAGAGGAACACATGTACGTGTACATGGGAGTACATATACGACGTGGTACCAAAGGGCTGCTTCTCAACTTTAAAGATGTCCCAGAAGAACATAACAAAGATGTTTCTGACCAAAGAAATCAGGAATGAAGACTGATACAAATTCAAATAGGACCCACTCAACCCAACTTCCATGGCTCACTGGTCGCAAGGCAGGACTGATGGATCTACCTCACCCATTATACTGCAGTTTATCCTGCCTCTTTTGATGTGCTTTATGTTTGAATCCCTTGAAAGTTGCATTTAACTCTTTCATTAGATAAATCCTTCCTTAAAAAAAAAAAAAAAGCTTTAAAATGTATTGGTTTCAGAAAAACTGTAATTGAAGGATAAAAAGAAAAGAAAGAATAAAACGACATCAATAGAATGATACAGTTCTATGTAGATAATTTCAAACTGGTTTTTTTTTTGGAAAATGCTTTCAGTCATATATGCAAGGACTTTAAAGAAGGAATCTGTTAAAATAGAAGAAGGTCTATCACATGGCCTCAATTACCTGGCTCTTTCACTTTCTAGGGCTTTCAGTGAAGCCTGAATTTCCGTGTTATGACGCTGTACTTCTTCCCATTGACTTCTTTCTCCCTCCAAGGACTGCAGACAAACTTGCAGCTCTTTGTTCTGATGTTCTACCTCTTTCCACTGGCTCCTTTCCTCCTCCAGCATCTTCTCAAGCTGCACAACCTCTAGCATCTTCTGCCTAGACAATTCCTGTGCCTCATGCAGATGCTCCTGAGCTTCATGGCTAATTATTTGCCAGGACTCTTCAGAGACTGCTAATTGAGATTTCAACTCTTCTACCTGAATTAAAAAATAATGGAACAGTCAAAGACTAAAGCTTGTCTCTATCAGCTGTATCATATACTGTGAGGACAGAGAAAGAACGCATTTGAACTTTGTCCTACTATGAGAGCACTGGAGTGACATTATATACAGCAGATTTGTTTAAAAACTCAGTGAGACAGAGCAATCATCTGAAAAAAAAAGGAAAAAAAAAAAGCAAGGATAGCAGCAGCAGACCAACAGAAAACCCAGCTGATGACTATTGTCAAAATAACAGGCAGAAGGACTAGTCTAGGACTAGCCATGGCAGCAGCTGAAGTTCAGGCTGACAAGTAAGGTGCTTTCAAACCAGTAGAAAAGGAATCGACAGTATGCTAGCAGTCAGAGGGGTACACGTTCAGTGCACTCTGCAGTGAAACAATGGAAATGCAAGAAGTGGAAACACAACCTCTTTCAAGGTTGGAGTATCTATTGCTGTTTCAGTCACCTTTTTCTGTAGAGCGTCTCTCTGCTGAAGAAGGACATTCATTTCCTCTTTGAGGGTTTTGATTTCTTCCATGTGCCTATTCTCCATGGTCGTGATCTTACTCTGAGCTTCCTGCAGTTCTGCTTGCAACTTTTGTGTGATGTTCTTCAAGCAAGAATAAAGAGCAAGTTACTGGGGCCAGCTGTCCCCTTCAGGTCTTTTTCTGTCCCCAATTCAGCTTCATTCAGACACTTTTTTTCCTACTTAGCTTTGCTCCTAACACTTTCTTCCTTTGGCTTATCTCTGGGGCTTACCAGGCCCTGTGCCCCAGTGCTCACAGTAGTACTTCTCTCCCTCATCCTAGGACTTCTGTTTCAGCAATTTGCTTGTCTCCCACTCATCTCTTACCCGGCTCTATCAGCCCCTCTCTCAACTTATGTACAACTGCCAACTGTTCTTTCAATCTACTCTACTAGTCAGATTTACCTGTCCATTCTCTTGCTGCTCTTTCACATCCTGCCTGAGTTGCTCTAGCTGCTTGCAGGCTTCTGTTAGCTCTCCTTGAGTCTGAAGGAGTGTCTCTAACAAAGCCTTCTTCTCGTTCTCTTTTTCTAGCAGGACCTGCACAGAAGTAAAGGAGAGAAAATGTGTTTGAACATCACAGTTGAAACTTGTGTGGCAAGGCTCAAAGGCTGATAGGCTTACACATTTTCAAAGCAATATGCTACTGGTCTCCAAGGACGGTATCTGCTCACTTGGAGGTTTTCTAAAGCAAGATTGGCAGTACAAACGTGTCCATCTGCAACTGGATTCTCAATAATCTCTTCATCTTTTATCTAGATGCTCTGAATAAAGAGCACAACTTCTGGCAGCACACTAAGAGGACTGCCAGTCTATGACAAAGTTGCTTTGGCATATGAGGTCTGAGCTCAGAACAGGTGACTTAAAACACAGCCTAGAGATGGTTCTTTACAGAGCCTAGTTCTTTACTGTTCAGAAATAACTCAGAGCAACTTTTAGAAAGCTTTTTCTTTGGTCAACATCCCAGTATCCCCTAAAATAATAATAAAAAAATCTAGCCTCATGGGGATTCAGTCCAACAAACTTAATCTGGACATAAATTTATTTAAGGCTATAAAAGCAATAAATTTTGGGGAGGTGGGGGGGGAGGACCATTAAGAGCACAGTAAAGATACTCTTAGATAAGCCTTAGAAAACCCAAACACAATAGCAAGACAAAAATCTAAAATGGAAAGTAACATTTTGGCCTGACTTCCAAAGAGTGGTCTCATTCACACAGTTCTGCATGCCATTCACATCATCAAATTCAAAACAGTTCAAACATATCAGGAAAAGCAAGACACACAGGGCATGCTCCACACAGCCCAATACCCATCCAGTTACCACATCTCCATGTTTTCTGTATCTCACTGTACAGGTGGCTTCTTTCAGGTTGGTTGCTACAGCTCCACTTTTTTATATAAAAGTGCATCCAAAAGATATGTCTACCCAGACAGCTGGTGTCAAGGTGAGTATCACCAATAAGGAACTCAGAAGGGTAAAAGCACACAAATTCTCCGTTCATGCTCTTTACCTCTTTCTTGGCAGTTTCAGCTCTATTTCGTTCCTCTTCTTGCTGAACTTGCATGGCAGCAACCTTCTGCCTCATATCCAACAGCTGCTTCTCGTGCTTTTCTTCTGCCTCTGCTTTCTCCTTATCCCAGCGCTCCAGCATCTCTTGTAGCTCTGAATGGTGCCCTTCCTGCTCACTTGCCTTTTAAGTGGAGGAAAAGACTTTGAGATTGAATCCTGGCCAACCTCTTCACAAACAGGTGAAGAAAGCATCCCTCCCACAAAATCCCTCTTGAATCACAGAATCACCGAATGGTTAAGGTTGGAAGAGACCTCTAGAGATCATCTAGTCCAATCCCTCTGCTCAAGCAAGGACACCTAGAACACAGGGCGCCTGGCTGCATCCAGGCTGGTTTGGAAGATCTCCAGAGGAGACCCCACAACCTCTCTGCGCAGCCTGTTCCAGGGCTCTGAGACCTTCACAGGAAAGAAGTTCTTCCTCACATGGAGATGTGATGACTAACAGATGATAAGATTAATAAAATTAGTACACAGGCCTTGTGTCCTACAGAAATACCATCCTACCAAGGAACATAAAAGAAAGGTAAGCAGGTAGAACAAGAACCCCTCTCTGATGGCTGCCTTTTTCCTAGTGCATCTGTCCTCAGGATTTCTCTCTGTTCTCACAGACTCTATTTTGAAGCTCATCTCCTTTTTCCTCAAAGAAAAAGACAGAGGGAAAAAGAAAAAAAAGGGTACCTGACTTCAGGTAGGAAAAGGTTGTATCCTGACACCCTATTCGCAAGACAAACACTGAAGTAGCAGGAATAAGGAACCTATTCCAAATCTTAAGACTCTGACAACTAGGAAAGGGCAGAAAGCAAAAGTTTTTTTTTGTGATGGCAATCATCAGGAATGTTAGGAGTCCATTCTGTGGTAATTGAGAATCTGGTTCAATTCCACCCCCTTGCTGTGAGGCTTTGTGCAGGGCTCACCCAGCCCTCACACAATTAATGCTGAATTCTTCTTAGATCCACACTGAACCTCTAGCTGCATTTACTGTCCCTGTATATTCATGTGGGCCGTTGCACATTTTCAAACATGAGACACTCGCTCTGCTACCTGGTCCTAGCACAAAGGAGCCATGTTGTCTCCTACCAGGTCTTGCAGCAGCTTGTTTATTTCAACTTCATGACCAGTTTGCTGAAGCCTGAGGACATCATTATACTTCTGTTCAGTCTGCAGGAGCTGCTGTGCCATGCTTTCCTGTTCCTGCTTCATTCGAGATCTCTCTGCTTCCAGCTCACAATGAAGGCACTTCACTTCTCCTGCAAATGAGAGAGATGACAAGAGGTTTAGTCCTTCTCTTAAACCTACACAGTGGCTCTAGTTTCACTAGCCTTTACTAGCCATTGGAATTTTGTTACAGAAGGGATCTGTCTCCATCTCCCTTACTCCTCAGAAACATTGTATATCGCAGGCATACAGATAACTTCATATTATCAGCTGCAGGCAGGGAGATAACCAGATCCAGAAACAAGGCACATGAAAACTTACCTTGTATCACCTCCTTGGCCTGAGTGACTGTATGAAGTTGGATTTCCAGCTGACTCCTAGTGACTTCCAGCTGAGACAAATGGTGCTGAGCCTCAAACAGGCTGGATTCCAGGATGTCTTTCATCGACCTATAAGTTATAAATACGGAAAGACACAAGTCTCTTGTTATTAACACCCAGAGAGGATTACTTCGGTAAGAAGTTATTCAAGATCCCTACAAATGAGTAGGGAAAATGTATTGTATGGATCCTCACGGACAGCAAACTCAGTTCTATCATATAAAAGAGCAGTGCAGGCCCCTTCCAGGAAAGGCTCAAGCCTTACTTATGACCTAGTACAACAGAGAAAGATTGTTTTGATCTTAAGAGCCAAAGCTTGAGTTGCTATTGTCAGACATATGAAACACGGGTAGCTGTGTTAACAAAGTCTGTGCCAGCAAGCAAAAGCCCATCCTCTGTTATCTTATCAGTACCTTCAGGCTTGCTCTGAAGAGGGGAAAAGTAAGAGCATTTCCCTGGCTGATTAGAGATTTTTTAATGTTGCTTATAGTGTAGGCATATGCTGGCAATTTTCCAAAACTAAGATTAAAAACAACTGAAGGAAGACCTCAAATTCCAGACATATAGTAACATCTATGCTTCCAGAGGCATTTTTAAGAAATCTGCTAGTAGAAAAACCACATGCAAGAAAAGGCAGGTAACCCTCAGCTGAGATTGCTGGAAGCTCAAGAGAAAAATCTGCTTCTTTTAATTTGGCTAATTCACTATGCAGTCCTTCAGACGATTTATCATTCTAAAATGCAAGCCATAGCACTGCAGATGAAAAATGCTTTACAAAGACTCCTAGCAACTGGTTTATATGACAGAAGATTTTGGAATCAGGAGCTGCATGCAGCAACTGAACTTACCTCCCTTTAATTCAAATTCCTGTGTGTCAGTTTCCTACAATATGTGGCACTTCCTCACTCATATAGACGTGTAATATATATATATAGGGTTAATATATGCATAGGGGTAGGTGGTTGTTACTGCAATAAAACCCCAAATACAAGCACTGCACTACACAGACAGGAAAGAGAAGATACATCCTCAAGCAAGCAGAACAAAAGCTTAACTTCAAAAATGCCAACCTCTGGCATTCTTTAAAATGAACAGAGAACAAGTTCAAAATTCTGAGAGAAAAATGGGTTTTAAAACAGTTGCTGATTTCTCTGGGTAATGATTTATTTATTGCCAAAGACATTTAAGTGATTTATCTCTTTGACTGATGCTAGCATTGATTTAAAAATAAAAAAAAAAAGCTGAATTTTTAATAAGGTTTCTCTGAAAGTATGTATTGGCAAGCTCTCTATTATTACAGCGATTTTTACACTGAATTTATATATAATCAAATAGTTCCTCACTTCACCTGTGCACTGATAAAACATGGAATATCATACATAAAACATCAGTTTTAAAGGCACAGGAAGACAGACATGTCTACAGACAGCTCAATGTTCCATCTTCAGTTTTGGTTGCACTCTCCTCTGGAAGCTGAATAAGGAAAGCAAGAAGTGAATGCCTGCAACAAAAGCTGTAGCTCATAAGTACAGCTCAATAATTGACAGAACATAATTTAGCTGGATCCAGTGAGAAAATCAGGAGCAAAGTCAAGTAACAGAGCGAGTCAAATGATGGTTATCAGCCTTGTTAACAACATATTCTGGAGCAGCGAGGGGCAAAACTCAAGAAGCAAGATTGAAAATCCCGAAACTATCATTTCTGTAACTTTGTAAGTTCACAGCTCCTTTAAAAATCACCTTGAGAGGACAAACCTCTCAATATTTCTTTGCTGGAAAAGCAGAAATTTTCATATTCAATCTTGAAAACATGATACAGCAGAAGCATAGCATCATGTTCCATCCCTGTTTAACTTTAGCATGATGCTTATTTCTGCAGGGCAAGTGGTAAAAGAATAAGGGGCCCCCACAACAGTGATAGGCCAGAATTCCCAGAGACTAAGGAGCATTCAAAAAAAGGGCTTTTCTGTTGCTGGCACAATCAACTCTAGGTCCTGCACCACAGCTAACAGAGTTGCCTTAGAAACAGAACACTAATATTCAAGATCTTCAGCATAAGCCTCCAGCTTAACTGTAAAGGGCAATGTGTTAGTGTTCTGTGCAACAGCCTTGAATCCTAAAGATCCCGTGTCAAACTATCTGTTATGGAAAGACCTCTGTTCAAACACACAGAACAACAAATAAAACCCCCAAAAATGTTTCAGTCTCCATTAAAAACATGCATGCAAGCAACGTGAGCATGGTTCTATTACGATTCCTACCAGAGTCAATATACCAGATGCTAAGGAATCATACTGGATTGCACTGGACTTGCAAGTAGATATGAGTCACAGGCTTGCCAGCTTTAGCTTCAGAAAAACAACATTCAAATTATGGTATTTTTTTTTTTCCTAAGATGCCTCAATTTGCTGAGTGGAGCCTTATGAAAAGCATATAGGATGGAGTAAATGGCTGCGCAATTACTACCACTCTTATATGTGGTAGAATAGAGGTAATTAAGGTAATATAGACCTTAAATAATGTCCTGCTTAAGGCATCTTTCTTTTTTACCTGGCCTCTGCCAGTTGCTCTGAAAGATCTTGTCTGTCCCGTTTCATAGCTGCCAGTCGCACCTCTAGCGCAGCCTTCTCATGTACCAGGACTTCCTTCTCTCTGGACATCTTGGTCAGAACATCTGCTTGGTGAGAGGACTCCTGGCGCAACTGCTCCAAATCACTGCTAGCTGACTCCTGCTGGTGGCAAATCTGAAAGTGGGAGAAAACGCATTTTTCAGTCATTTCTCCCAATTTCGGTTCAGAATTAGCTAGTGTTACTTCTGAATCAGCTACAGCAGGAAGAGGTCCTATATTGTGGGCTGAATGTCTAGGAACATTTATATATAGCACTAGTACAGTGAGCTGCCAAAAAAAGGCACTGGGACTATTAATTCAGAAATGATGTGTATGGTTATATTGGGTTAGCTGGGAACAAGCATCTCCTTCAGGACAAATGTACATATTCCAGACTAGGTGTTTTTACGAAGGGGGAAAAAAAAGAAAAAAAGTATTTTCCAGAATTACCACCTTGCAAAGCAAAATTTTGGCAGAATCTATTCTAGTACTGGAAATTTTCAGGTAAGTTTAGGCAAAAGCAACTTTGGTCTCTGAAGAAAGTTTAAATAAACATGGTCTCTCCTTCTAAAGTTGGCAACACTTTGATCATTTTGTTTTAGCTTGTAAAGTAGAGGGATGCAAAAAAAAAAAAAAAAAAAAAAAAAAAAAAAAAAAAAGTGATTCTTGGCAGGGAAAGAGCCCTTGCGGCAAGTAATGTCTTGCAGGAATTTACAAAAATCAGGCTGATGTGGCCAAATAGATGTAGACTCTACTTGTACAGTAATTCATGTCAACAGCACTATTTACTCGCCTTACACAAGTCAGTTGCCTAATATACCTTCATGACCTTCAAGCTTGGAGATTAACTATGACATTTTAGTGTTTTTCTTCAGCACAACACCTCTGCTGTATATTTGCCAAACAACATATTCTGTACTCAAGAACTAAGTCTACCCAATAGAGAACACACTGTGTAAAACAACCCTCCTCTCAGAGTTATCCCCAGCACCCAAGATTGTACATTATGAAATAGTCACTTAAATGAAGACAAACTCCCTAGTTTGTTCCACTGATATAATTTTCACAAGCTTTTTTTTTTTTTAACAGTACAGTGAAAATCAGCTAGTCCAGCATAAACAATCTGTCTGATCACCTATTTCTCATCTTCTTCTTCTGAGCCGAAAGAGATTCTACCAATTCAAAGCTACATTTTTGTCTTAAAATACAATTTCAAAAGCAAGCACAAGATGTTATTCACATTCTTAGCAGGGCAAGTCAGCAGAAAATAACTTGCAGCTCTGTTCTGCATGCCCCACTAAGCCTAAAACAAATGCAGTTCTGCGGGTTGTCAACTTCATAGCAAAAAGCACAAACCCCATACTTTCTCCCTTCTGGAAAAAAAAGATGAGGAGCTAAACAGTTTGCTGTTTTTGTTGTAGATGACAGCAGTAGACTTGCTTGGGATTCATAGACAACAAAAAACAAGCTGTTTGCATCTTGTCAAAAGCCAAAGAGGTCAAAGCAGACAAGTGGACAAAATAACCTGTAAAAGCAGAGGACAACTCAGTGCTTCAGAGAATTGCAGAGCATCTCTATTGGCCACCGATTCATTTCCAAAAATAAATAAGTAGGGTCTTCTGACTTTCAGCAGAACCAAGTGTCTTGTTGCAAGACACTTGCAGCAAGTGCAACACTCCTGCTTGCCTTCACTGAGCCAAGCAGCCAACTGCCCATCCAGTACCAGACTTTGGGTCTCACCTGATTGAGTTTCTCTTGAATTTCTTCCTTCTCCTCTGCCAGTATCCTCAGTTTTACCTCTAGTCCCTCCTGTTGGTGTTGTGCTTTCTTCAACTGCTGCTCTAGGTGGGCTTTCTCTGTGCAGAGCTCTTCATTTGTCATTTTACACGAGTTCAGTCTCTCCTGCACAGAGATCTTTGTTTTCTCCATCTCTTCCACTTTATCTGACAGGACTTCATTCTCCTGTTCCAGCTACAATCACAAAAGCATAGAGGAAATAAAACACAGTAAGATGCACTGTGTACCAGATCTGGCTTGAACAGAAAAAGTAACCATATCTCCATATTCAGGCAGCTATACTGTCTGAGGGTAAAAAGTCCAGAAAGGAGCACCATCTGGACACAAGCACCTAGCTTGTGGCAACACTGCTCACCTGTAGCACAAGCTTGTTCAGCTGCACTTTATCTAATGCCAGAGCTTCATTAATACTACTCATCTTTGCTGTTGCAACACGTAGATCCGCTGTTTCAGATCTCAGCTTATTCTGAGCTCCTGACTGCTCTGCTACCAACTGTTCTGCCTAAAGAGACAAAAGATCAATATGAAAACAAAGACAGAAAAAACTCTTGACTTTAAAAAGCAACTTCAGATCCTAAATGGAGTTCTGCCTTCCCATTATGGATACTAACTCTCCCAAAGGGCCCATATGATCTCAACATAGCATTTTCCAAGGAAAATACCATTTCCCATCTCTATACTCTCAGAAAACATGTAGGGGTTCTGCTGTCAGAACTCCTGCTCCTACAAGTGTGAGCTAAAAATAAGGTAACCATACCTTTTTCAATGCCTTTGTAAGCTCATGTTTCTCTTGCTTCAGCAGATCTCTATGAAGTTGGGATTTCTCCAGTGTCTCTCTTGCAACTATCAGTTCACTCTGTAATAATGAATGTTTTGCTTCAAGTGCAGCTAAGTCCTTCTGACTATGGGAAGAAGAAAAGTAAACTTTTTTTTTCATGTCAGAAACATTATCATTTCCAAAAGTAGGAGATATTTTAACCCAGTGAAACACTCAAGAAAGGAAAACCAGCTTCCAAAAGCTTTTTTGGAAGAGCTTTTTGGAAGAAAAAAAGTTTAACAGCTTCTTGTCTTTTAGTTAACTTCTTCCTTTTTTAAGATATTAGAAGTTTTAGCAAAAGGTTTTCTTTGGGTAAAAAGAACTTTTTGAGTCCAGATTAATATTCCCCACATTATTCTTGCCTTCTGCAGTGAAATGATGAAAAAGATATCAATCTTTCAGGGTGTGTGTGTCTGAGAACTTCCAAAGCTCCAGAGTTATGTGAAAATTCATGTTGGAAGAGACCCCACAAAGGTCCAAACTTTTGCTCAAACTTTAGACCAAGCTGCTCAAGTCTACATCGAGTTTGGTCTTGCAAACTTCCAAAAATGGAATCTGCACAACCTCTCTGGGCAACTTCTTCTACTGCCTGATTGTCCTCAGAGTTAAAGAGGTTCTCCTTAAAATCAATTTGAACTTCTCATTTCAACTTATGCCTGCTATCACCAGCTCTGATCAGATTCAGAAGGCTTCCTGTAATGGGTCTTGAAGTACAAGCAGGCAGCTGTGCTGTATGTCAGTAGGTACCCAAACCTGCCCATATATTCTCTTATCTTTCTACACTCCAGTTGAGGAACAGACAAAAATCCACTGCTATACTGAGAACGCAATTCCTAAGACCAAACTATGCGCACTCCTGGCTGGAGAAAGATTCAAAGCTCACAGAAGTTCTCGGTCCTGATGCTCTCTTTCTGTTGTCTGTTGCTCCTCCAGTTTTTCCCCTTGGGCAGAATCTTCCTTTGGCCGCAGTTCAGTGTCACTTTGACGCAGGCACCAAACTTCCTGTTCAGTTACTTTGAGCTGCTGCTGTAGCTCTTCCCTGTTTCTCTCTAGGTTTGCACAGTCACTGCAGAGACAAAGTCAAGTTACAAAAACGGGAAGGACTAGTAGACATGGATCACATTTTCATCATTCTGTGATGGACCTGTGGAGAGCAGAGTGAGGAAGGACTTGCTCTTCCTCTCAGAACGTTATCTCAGGAAGGAAAAAGAAAGAGAAGCAGACTGTTGTCTTCATTCAGAGAGAAGCAGTGGCTAAAAAAAGGGTCATTGTCCAGTCAGGTTATATACAAGACACCCAAAGAACAGACTCTGGACAAGAAGTTAATTAAGAGGAAGGCATCCTGTATTCCAACACCACTTTATATCTCCAAGACAGTCTTAGGATCACACTGGAGCATGAGAAACAGTGACAGGATGCACACATACTGTAGGACAGGCAAGTTCTCAGTCCTAAATACCTCTGAATTCCAAAAGCTAGAAGGAGATTGCCTCTAGCATGCATGAGAAGAATGAAATGCTCACCTTCTGAGTCCTTCTACCAGAGACTGGAGGTGCTGCCGCTGGTTACTGCTCAGTTTACTCTCCTCCTCCAGCTGCTCAAGTCTTTGCTGCAACTTCTTGCACTCCTCTTCCTGCTGTTTGTGTTGGTGCTGCAGGAAACTGAGAGAGTTCTGCTTGGCAGAAAGCTCATCTTTTAGAGCCTGCAAGGAGCAAGGATGGAAACAACACAAACAGGCAATAATGAGTAGGGAAAATGGCTCCAGATGTAGTAGCCTGGAGGGAGAGGTAAGCAGAGAGACAGCTCACCTGAAAGCAAAAGCTGTGATGAAGGGATGGAGATCACGAGAAAAAAAGCAGTGGAACACAGAGCTGCTGAGATTGGCAAAGCAATAAGGTAACAAGTCAGCCTTATGGAAATTGTCTGAGTAGATGAAAAGCATTACTTTTGAAGCAGCTGTGAAGCATTAGCTGCTGAGACTATGCTCAGTGGTGAAGACAACCAGAAATTCTCACCTGTGTTACTCTTCGCTTCCTTGCCACCACTTCCTGCACCAACACAAGGACATATTCTGCATTGTCAGAGCTCAGGTAAGAAGGGATGCTGCTATACTCTGGGTACTGAGAACTGTCAGTGTAGCCATTGCTGACTGTGCCGTCATCTAACACCACCTGAAAGCCCACATCAAGCAGTTATTCTTCACTTACATTACTCAGTTTTCTTTATCAAGTTGTTCTTCCCCAGTATCACTCAGAGTCATTAAAGACTCAAATCACTCATTTCTGAATAAAGATGTTTTGTTGGTGACCACAAGTGCTCAAGGGATTTCTGAATACAGCTGCTATAAACAGCTCTGTACAGTTTCTGAACAGTTTCTGTTCTGAACAGTTTCTGTTCAGGGGAACAGAAACAAACGGGAAGTGGCTGTGGGCTGTTTGAATGATGTTTCCTGAAACATTCAAAAATTAATTTGGTCTCCTTGCTCTTATTACAGCCACATAAACCAGCACCAGAATATATCAGAAACATCAACAAAAAGAAATGTTAACACTGCTCAAGGAAGAAGGAAGCTGATGATTACTGGAAAACAGTAATGAAAGAGCAAATGTGCGTTATTACTCTGAATCACAGAATCACAGAATCACAGAATGGTTAAGGTTGGAAGGGACCTCTAGAGATCATGTTGTCCAACCTTCCTGCTCAAGCAGGGACACCCAGAGCACGTGGCACAGGGTGACATGCAGGTGGGTTTTGAAGACCTCCAGAGAAGGAGACTCCACAACCTCCCTGGGCAGCCTGTGCCAGGGCTCTGTCATCCTCACAGTAAAGAAGTTCCTCCTCACATAGAGATGGAACTGCCTGTGTTTCAGCTTATACCAATTACCCCTTGTCCTGTCACTGGCCACCACTGAGAAGAGTTTGGCCCCTTCCTCCCTACATTCCCCCTTCCTGAACTTATACACATTAATCAGATCCCCTCTCAGCCTTCTCTTCTCCAGAGAAAACAGGCCCAGCTCACTCAGCCTCTCCTCATACGAGAGATGTTCCATTCCCTTAATCATCTTGGTTCCTCTTCTCTGGACCCTCTCGAGAAGCTCCACGTCCCTCTTATCCTGGGGAGCCCAGAACTGCACACAGTACTCCAGGTGCAGCCTCACCAGAGCTGAGTAGAGGGGCAGAATCACCTCCCTTGACCTGCTGGCAACACTCCTCCTGATGCAGGCCAGGATCCCGTTGGCCTTCTTGGCCACAAGGGAACACTGCTGACTCATGGTTAACTGGTGTCAACCACGACTCCCAGGTCCCTCTCCATAGAGCTTCTTTCCAGCAGGTCAACTCCTAATCTGTACTAGTGCCTGGGGTTACTCCTCTCCAGGTGCAGGACCCTGCACTTGTCCTTATTGAACCTCATGAGGTGTTGCTCTGCCCAACTCTCCAGCCTGTCCAGATCCCTCTGGATGGCAGCACAGCCCTCTGGAGTGTCGGCCACTCCACTCAGCTTGGTATCATTCCAAAACTTGCTCACAGTCCCTCCGTGACCTTGTCCAAGTCATTGAACAGGCTGAACAGCACCGGGCCCAGTACTGACCCCTGGGGGACACCACTGGCCACAGGCTTCCAACTGGACTTGACCCCATCTATCACTGTTCTCTGAGCTCTGGCCATCCAGCCAGCTCTCAATTCACCTCACTGTGCACTCATTCAGACCACACTTCTGGAGCTTCCACATGAGGATATTATGGGGGACAGTGTCGAAAGCCTTGCTGAAGTCAAGGTAGACAACATCCACGGCTCTCCCCTCATCCAGCAGGCCAGTCATCCCATCATAGAAGGCTATGAGGTTTGTGAGACATGACTTCCCTTTGGGGAATCCATGCTGACTACTCCTGATCACCACCTTCTCTTTCATATGCCTAGAGATGCTCTCTAGGATGAGCTGCTCCATCACCCTAGCAGGGAAGGAGGTGAGGGTGACCTGCCTGTCGTTGCCCGGCTCCTCCCTCTTGTCCTTTTTGAAGACTGGAGTGATGCTGGCTCTGAGCAGTAGTACGAAAGGATAAAAATGACTAAATAAGGAAAAGGAACTGACTTTGGGGAGATCTGCATAAAAGCCCTGATGATCAAAACCAGAAAGTTTTCAGGCTGCTGAAGGGTAAAGTTTAGGGATAAAACACAATTAAGGTTCTGATGATATAATGGCAGTAAGTGCAGAGAAATGGAGCAGAGCTGGCAAATCAACTGATGTAATAAGTGACCTTTAATAAAAATTCAGGGAAAAGAGTCATTGCTCAAGGAGGGTTTGGGAAGTCTCCAAGCAACACTGGAATAGAAACATTATGTAGCCATTCAGAAAGCACCGTCCAAGAGAAGACCTGAGTGGGACAGTGAAGGCAAAGGCAGTGAAATGTCTAGGAGCTCATTTCAAGAGCCACAAAAAGCCAACCCTAAAGTTATAACAGGTTTGCACAAGAAAAGTGGTATGAAAATTAAACAGGTAGTAGTAAATAAATTCCAGCACAGAAGATTGAGTAGGTGACTCTGGAACAGGAGTTCAAGGACAAAAAGAATGCTGACTAGTTGGAAAATAAACCCAGAAAGGGTCTGTTTTGAGGCTGATAGCTATCTGTTCGCTGAATTAGGGAAAAAAATTCCAATGTTTCCTGGAAAAGCCATGGTCCAGAGAGTGGGTCTGTATGAAATACAGTAGATAAAGAATAAAAGAGATGCTGAAGAATAACAAAAAAGGGCAGACAAAAACTACAACTATATAAATCAAGAAAGACAATGGTTTTTGATAAAAGCTCATCCAAGTTGAAGGTAAACTGGAAATAATAGCAAAAACATAGCAACTGGGGAAAAAAAAAGTAATAGATAGCTATCATTGACTTTCAAACAGGAAAATAATATGATGCATGAAAGACACAGAGGAAATCCTATGACAGTTTTTAGAACTTGGCCAAAATATAAGAAATCAAAGTGATGACATAAGCCTAGGTATAAATATAACACTAATACTGTTTAAAAGGGAAATACTGTTAAATAAAAGAGTAACCACAGTTTTAAAGAATTTTTTTTCTGGATAGATTACTGGCCTTACAATATGTGTATCTTTTCCATTTGCTTTTATACACTCTTCATCAAGAATGTTTTAACCAAATTTACAGGGATGATGCCTCAACACAGATGCAGTGCCAACTCCATACTCACCTCAATGATATCTTTTATCAACTTTTGAAGGGAAAGATTCTCCTCTTTGGCATTCTGAGTCAACGAGGCTTCATACTCCACCTCCAACCTACTTGCCTCCTGAGAACAAAATAAAAGCAAGTGTGGGTAGGGAGGAAACACTCACTCTGCAGCACTCAAATTCAGTAGCACTGTCATGCTGATAAGCCTCAGTCCTAATCATTCCTGTACTTTACTTTTCATATCTATCTAATTCTTTCTTTACTAAAATTAAAAAGGACACACCAGCAACTAGTTTTTACAGATTGTTAAGAAACAGTTAGTCAAGTAACTTTGGTCACTAGAGACTTAGAGGCAGAGGCAAAATACAGCATTGCTATAAGTTCTCTGATGAAGATACCTGAATTGTTTGCACCTCCCCTACACTTGTCTTCAGGTGGATTGGTTCCAAATTTGCTAAATACACCACATATTTTGAAAATACTCTTCATGCTTGTATACAGTTAGCACTTCTATCACTAATTCTCTCAAAAAGTCGACACCTCTTTGTGCGAGGGCTGGAGAGCAAACCACTTGGACCAAACAGACACTGGGCTACTTCCCAGATAAAAGTAAAACATACTAGAATCTCCACAGTGTCGTTAAGTGTCTTCATGGTCTTCTCCTTCTCCTCATTCTGCTTCTGTGACTGTACAAGCAAGGCTGAGAGCTCCATCACCCTGAGAAGAGAAGGTCCACATGCCAAAAGCTTTGCACACCACCAGCTGTTAAATGACAAAGTAGCACCCAGAGGCACAGCAGAGAAAGTTAAACCCAGAAAATATAGCAAGAGCAGCTTTAGTCTCTAAAGGTTAAGATGCTAGGTATGGCAAAAAGACCTATCATATCCCCAAAAGACTTCACCAGTTGATCTTGCAAGGAGAGGTTGGTACAGAGGTGCTACACGATTCATGATGGTCTTGTGTGAATTCATTCCAGCTCCTGAGGTGCAGTCCTGGATAGCAAGAGGGCTGTACAAGAAACAGAACTCAGTGATGGTAATAGCAAAGTTTAAAACATAATTACCTGTCTTGAAGTTCCTTTTTCTCAAGGTCCCCCTTAACTTGAAAGCTCATCACTTCCCAGGTCTTCTGGTTTATTTCCTTTTCCACCTGTTTCTCTGTCTGATCCTTTAAAACAGGTCTTCCCAAAGTGAGGGACTCCCAGAGCTGTACGCCAGAATTTAGTTGGAAGCAGTTGACAAGTATAGATCCAGAAAGTCTCATTTGCTCTGCCTTCAGTTCTGACAAATCTCTGAGAATGAATAAATAGAAGAGCTAATGTTCAAACCATTTTCATCAGCCAATTCACTTTTTGAAGTGCTTAGCTGGGCAACAGTACATGCTAACAGGAAAGATTACATCTTCCGCAAGGAGAAAACATTCGTTTGACACTGTAAAATCAGGACACATCTTGATAGTTGAAGAATGAGTCTATTTTCTCCACAGAGATATGAAGTAGGGTATAGTATATCCAGGAGGCTTCAAGGACCTCTAAGAACTCTTATTAATTAATGATCTTGTTGCATGTTATTAGTATGCTCTAATCGCTACCATCAGTAATAGATGTACGGATTTTTTGCAAGGTCCCCAATATTTATATTATCATATATAAACATATACTAAATATATATAATTATATATTACATTTAAATATATATATATAATTATAGATATATAGATAGATAGATATAGATATTATTATATTATTATTATAGACATGGTATTAGCCTTAACCTATCAGTATGATCATCTGGCCTGCTGAAAGGCCCAGGAAAATACGTACACAATAACCATTTCAGAAAGATGATGTATGAAGCCTAATCCTGGACTGCTTTAACAGAAAAGTACAAATTATGCAAGAACTAACAAGTAGGTCAGATATAGCTTTAAAGCTATAAGCATTAAAGAAAGCTTATAATTAAGACCAATGGATGAAAGTAACCCACAGTTTAAAATTGCATCCTTACACCAAAAGACTACAATATTAAGGCTATTCAACTATCATTTGCAAGGAGGGCAACCATGATGAAGCACAGTTAAAGAAGCTCAGAAAGCCCATGAAGGAAGAAAACAATAAAAAAAGGCATCAAACTACGCAGTGTACACTAGATAAATGCAATAACAGAGAAAATGCAAGCTATTTTTTTCTCTTGATAATGTTGATGCAGAAATAGGTGCGTATAAACCAACAAAATAAACGTAAGCAGGAAGTGAGAAGAAAAAAATATATATAATCATGAATGATACTTTCACCAGAAACCTAGGAAGAAGAAGGAACCTAGCAAGATTTAAGATTGGTTTTAACAATTTTATAAAAGGGACTGCTTTATATACTGCATACTGTAGGGTAGATGAGTCCACTCCCTTCCAACGTGCCCATTTATGTACATTTCTGTGTAAATATGCCCCAGTATTCACAGGCAAAAGTTTATCCACTTAGGGCCTGTACATTCCCATACATGGGCCTATACGTGGGACTCATAGCCCAAGTCCCTCAATTTAATTTGAAATCAAGCATCATACAAGATAATATCAAGGTTTAAAAAGTAGGTGTGGAAGGAAACACTTTTTTTTCTACAACAGATATAACTTTAACTGCTACTCACCGGTCAGTGGCAGTCTTCATTTCTAGGAAATGACGGCGAAAGGTCACCACCTGGCGCCAGAGGCTGAGAAGACGGCTATGTTCACCTTTTAGGTAGCTGTCATAAAGCTAAAAATGCAGAGACAAAAAACAAATGCCAGTTCAGCCTTCAATCTCACCGTGCAAATCTTCCAGATACGAGACAGGGCACCACCAGATATCCTTTAATAATAGTTCCAACAGGAACATCAGGGACTGAATAGGACCACATAAGCATCCTCAGTAGACTTGCCGTCTCACTTCAAAGAGGAAAACATCCAAATTTCTCCTGCTGTTGTACATATCAACACCGCAAACTCATCATGATTCACCACTTCACCCTGCAGAGATGTCCAATAGTCTTGCGTGGAGGCTCTTGCTTGCAGTAGGCTGCTAGTAAGGAGTGCCTGCTTGTTTTTCTGCAGGGCAACTCCAAATCCGAAAACACGCAAACCTCTCTGGACTCCATTGCCATACACAGAAATTTAAAGACTAATATAAATGAATAAATAAAGGAGAGTTCATGTGTGATGACTGTTGTACAGTATCCAGAAACAAAAGTCAATTGTCTTAAAGAATTAGTTGCCTTGTTGCAGCAGATGGACATCTCTTATCACTACAAAATTTGTGGATGGTCCTCCATCTCACGTCTTCATGTTTTGCTAGCCAACACCAGCAAACCATCAATGCAGCAATGACTTTCAGCCAGCAAATTCTCTGTGCTAAGAATAAATTGTATTCTCACTCCTGTCCAGCATTACATTTGACATTCTAGCTATGCTAGAATGTTTATGCTTACCTCACGTTCACTACGCCATTCATTCTCCTTCAACTCCAGCTCCTCACGCGCCCTCATCCAATCTGCCGTCAGTTTTCCAACGTCTTCTTTAAGAGCTGAATTCACCTCATTTGCTTTATCTAGGTGTTTCCGCAAGAGGGTGTTTACTTCAGCCAGACCTTCACACCTTGGAAACAGAAACAGCAATGAGCATACTGAAAAACTATCATGCACACATAGCATCCCTGTGTCTTTCCAGCTGCCTCAAAACTGACTTCCCCCTCATGCTGGCAGGTAGTGAAGGTACTTTCCAGGAATAATAAAGACATGTCTGTTTCTGCAACTTGCTCTTCTCTTCTTACTCTAAACCTTTAATTTCTATGTACAGCTTTAGTTTTCCCTTCTAATTTGATGATGCCCATATCTAATCTTTTGACTCCTCTTTGCTTTGTCTGGTCACCTGTCTATCTTCTTCTCTTTACAAGATCTTGATTCATCATCTTTCCCTAACATTGTCCTGACCACCTCATTCCTCACTATTTAAGTTTCAGTATCCTTTTTCCTTGCAACTTACCTCTGCCCTCACCTTCTTGTTAAGCCTCACCCTATCCTTGTCTTATACACCGTGTTAAGATCTGAAGGAAAAGTCATACTTTATTGATTGCACACCACAAAGGCAGAAAAGGCAGAACTGCCAGCAGGGAAAAGAAGCTCTCTATGGGACTTGCAATTGAAGACTGGAATCAACTTTCACAATCCCAAAGTGCATATGCTGATCATTTGCAGTTCTAAAGATTTTTAATGTGCTTTTCATTCTAAACCAAGCAGGAAAAGTCCTGCCGCATGAAAGGTTGAGGATATTAGGGCTTGATTCTCAATATAAAGCAGAGCTCTCCTGAGTTGCTCACTTCTAGAGCTGCAGAATAATTTAGGCTGGGAAGAGATCTCTGGAGGTCACCTGGACCAACTACATGCTCAAAACAGAGCCATCCAGCACACAATATTACTACCGTACCACAAAATGGACTTTGGACCTTTCTCCTTTTGAAATGGCCTGCCTAGCTGTTTCCTTTGGGGAGAATAGGTGCTGGGTTTTCCCTTACTTGTATGAGTAGGGATACCCTTACTTGTATGAGTAGAAATATTTCCTCCTTTTACCTTTGTTGTTCCTCTTCCAACTGGGAAAGTGCATTCTCCAGGCTATGGTCTTCTGTGGCTTCCCACCTGTCTGGAAGGGATCCCTTAAGAAAAAAAGGATATGTTTAGTCAAATCCTTTTGAACAGGCAGTACACCCCTTCTCCAAGACTAAATACAAATATTACTTTAGCATGCAAGCATCCCTTCACAAAATTAAGATCCCTCTTGATAGCGTTTTCTGGACTGGTATTTCTGAGACTACTGGCTACTCTGAGAATGGCCAGTGGACAAAACACTGAAGTGCAAACTTACAGTACTTCTTCGAATTCTCAAGTCTACAAAATTATATTTTTCTCTGTCTTCGCTTAAAGATTCTTTCTCTGTGTTACCAAATGCCACACACACTGTCTTTAGTTGGCAAACTAAATACTCACCCCCACCGCTTCCAGTCGCTGCTCCAACTCTTGACACCAGCTCCGGTACTGCAGCACCTAGATGGATAAGTAGAACCAGGATACGTGAACGAAGTTTGTCGCAGACCAAGTTCCTTCTGCATTTCTCCCCAGATCTTTACACCCAGGGCACAGTACACTTCACATTACCAGTCCTGTGCAGAAGCTTCACTTTTATCCAAAAGAAGCAATGCTTTTACACATGGGTTCATCCTAAGACAAAAGGGGCAAGTAGAACAACAGGATAGACTTAGACAGTTGTGCCAGGCCAGCCATACCTAACAGACTGATGTTGACACTGGTAAGATGTAAACAGAATATATTAAATTCAGAAAGAGCTGCCAACAGAAAAACCTGTGCAAAATCCTAGGTATGTCAGGTTTAATAGCAGATTTGGAACTAAAAATTTATGAAGTGACACAGCATCTTGCAGTAATCATAAGCTTACTGTGAAACAATTATTATTTCCTATACCAACAGTAACCTACACAGGCCCATCAAACAAAAAAAAAAGCAGTTTCTTGCTATGCAGGCAAATAGCATGAATATAAAAAGAAAAGTTCTGATAAAGAGTGGAAATGATTACATAAAAGGGAAAGCCTTTTTTTGAACTCCCAGGACTGGGCACACCAAGGGGCTGAGAAGAAGCAGAACTCTCCTCGTGAAATGCTCAAAGCAGGTAGAAAGCAAGTTGTCTAAAACCAAAAAATAAATAGAACTCCTCTGCATTGTCTGGAGGAAGAAATGTACTTTTATCATCTATGTGCTATTAGCATTGCTTCCCAAAGACATTTCCATCACACGGCAAACGCAGTTGAACCATTCCTGCTGTATCTTTCCAGCATTCAAGCTCCTTTACATCTGAACTATTAGTCATTTGAAAATAAACAAACAAACAACAACAACAAAAGAAAAGCAAAAAACCACAAATCATAAGGCATAAGGATCTCCCTGTTTAAATGTGTTTAATTTCACAAAAGTGAAAAACTTGGCTGATGCAAAAAAGCAACACAGGCTGGTATGGTGCTTGATAAACCGCCAGACTATCACAGAAGAAAAAAACCACTAAAATCCAGGAACAGAAACACTCAAACCTCTCCAGGGGCTCAGGCATTCGGAGGCAGGAGAGAAGCCCGTGGAGGTAGCTCAGCACTCCGGGCTCCCTTCCTGCCTCCGGACAAGCTGCACTAGAGGCATGTTGCACTTTCAACTCAGGCATCTTTATTAAAGTTAGAAAGCAAAACATAAAACCCAGAAAGTCTCTCTAGGGGTGCCGGGGGGCCGCAGCGGGAGCCCTGGAGCGGCCTAGCCGCCTCCCGCGGGGCCGCCGGCGCCGCCGCCCGGCCCGGCACCCCCGGCCCGACCCCGGCGCGCGGGCTCCGGCGGGGCGGCGCTCACCTTGGCCTGCAGCTTCTGCACGAGCACCGCTTGCCGGCGCTGCGCCTCCTGCGAGCCTTGCAGCCGGCGCCGCAGCGAGGCCTGGCTCCACGCCGCCTCCCCGGCCTCCATGGCCCTGCTCGCCCAGCAGGCCCGGGCGGCCCTGAGGCCGCTCGCTCTAGCGAAGGCGGCGGCGCCGCCCGGGCCGACTCCTCGCGGCGGGGACGTGAAGAGGTGCGGGCCCGGGCGCCAGGAAACAGCGGCGCCGGAGGCCTTCTCTGGCCTGCTCAGCCTCGCGCTGCGCTGAAGACCCCTGGGGCCCTTCCAACGTGTGTCTTTCCCAGGCCAGGGCCTCCCGAAGGCACTGCCCGGTAGCAGGAGGCCCTGTGGCAACAGCAGCACCTGGCAGGAGCACTGGGAGCTCACAGACATGGAGCTTTCCAGGGAAAGGCAATGGGGTGGAGAGCAGTGAAGTGCCCTGGTGCCACAGAGTCAAAGCAGTTTTTTGGGAAGGAACTGACACTGCCAAGCATGGTTTTAGATGTGCTAATGTGTACTCTCTTGACTTTTAAGGGTGTCCAGATGATCCCTGCTGTGGGAGTGTGCATTTAAAAGGGATGGAGCTCAAATTTAAGCACAATGGTTTCTGCTCCATGCATTTCGGCACAGCTAAAACATTGCTGCAAATCTAGGAGAAAATAAACATGCGTAAAACAGTGATTACAAAAAGGGTTTAGGGGCTGTAGTGGCAACTGGCTGAAGAGGCATGGCTAGCCAGGCATACTCAATGACAGCAACTCTGACATGATCAGAAAAAGAGTGCTGGCATCACACTCATACTGAATACTGATAGCGAGACATTTGCCAAATACTGAGCCTGCCTCTGGTGTCCATATATCAAGATGGTATATTCAAAGCTTGGTCCTGTGCCTTCCAGAGATTACAAATAGTGGCATTTAGATCCTGGTTCAAATTATTTAAAGAACAGGAATAGTTAGGAATAGTTTTTAAGAGCTAAAAGAGTTCACAAAGCTTAGAAACTGAGAGGAGCTCACAATAGGTCTTTCTCTGTTGGGGGCCTAGTGTCAAAGTTGTAGAAGGCAGTTTGATGTCTCCAAGCAAGTGCTCTCATAGAGGAGGGATGTAGTGGTGGCAGCTCTAAGGACTCCAAGGTTGCTATGAAGAGGAGGGGGGTGACATATATGAAGGCATATCTGCCCACATCTGGCAGTCCCATCCTAAAAATGAGTAGCACCCAAAATTCAGCCTTGTCCCACTGTCTTTGGACTTGCTGTGGATACAAGCTCTGCAGTCCTATTGGCAAAATGCTACACGGTTGTCATTTTGGAGCTTGATTCCCAATGGTCCTGCCTCATTCTTGCCTTGTAGTGTTTCGGGTGAACTTTTGGTATGGGGTCCCTTGTAATTCTCTGTAGGTTCTGATGTTCTCACCATATTGAGACTACTGAAAGAGGTCACAGGAAGTCCTGTGCTCTTCACTAGATTTGTTCCTTCCTCAGATCTACTTAGAACAACTGCTCAGAAGCCTACTCAAGTCTCTTGATAACCAATGGTGCAGCTCTTTCTTCTGACTTCATCTTTCTATTTACCATGAAGACATTTTAGCACAGCCTTTTCAAAGTATGCCACAAATTCCCATTTTAATGGAAACGTTATCATCTTGTTTTACTCTGGCCCAAAACAGCAGCAAAGGTTAATTATTGCATCTCTGAATTTCCTAGATATTTTTCCTTTAAAAAGACACATAACTATGAAGTTCAGTGGTAGTGTGGGATCAGCATTACAACCATCTGGAAGTGGCAAGATGAACATGACGTGTGCAATTCAGGGAGCACATTGAGTTTTAGTGGGTACCATAGCCCAAGCAGAAAGGAGCCTGCATCCATGTCCTGCAGCTCTAGAGTCCATTTCACCGACACGTGAAACATGCATCCAGGTTGCCCTGAGTAGGGACAAGCCTCTGAGTGGCCCTTTGCTCTCACTGAATGCCATCTTCTGCAGCACTGGGAAACGCTCCTTTGGCTCTGCACAGTGATCCCTTCGCCAGCACAGTCTGAAGGTCCAGACAGACTCACAAAAGTTGTCTGCTTCAGAAGCTGGCACAGACTCTTAGGATGTGGAGAACAGGATGCAACCTACTTCAGTGGGGCAGAAACCCAAATAGTGCTCCTTTTACAGATCCCTACATACACCGGTGTGAGGAGCTGCCTTTAGAGTGGCTATTGCAAGAAGGACAGGTGTGCTATACGGGCCAAGTTGTTTTAATGAGGCGTGTGTGCTCAGCCAATGTCCATGTCTGTCCTCTCTAATTATGTCCCGTGCTTGGCCTAAAGCCTGCAAAAGAGGAAGGATTTCCATCTACTTATTGAAGATACCAGGTGAGTTTGAGCTTCTCCCGAACGAAATGTGCAATCTGGATACTTCCACATTGGAAGGTACTTCCACCCTATTCCACTGTCCCTGTCCAAGGCCAGACCCCACTGCAGGAGTCTGGGCACTCACTTCGATCTGAACAGAAACAGTGATCCTGTGGTCACAAGCACTTTGGCAGAGAGTCCTCCAAGAGAGCCCTTCTGTCTTTTAAAGAGGGGATAGTTTTGTGCATCCTCTTTGCGTGCTCTCGCTCTGCAACACTGAGCCAAACGTAACGTGCTGGCAGCTGGGGAAGGAAGAGCACGGTCAACGCTTGGTTGACCCTGGGGATGAGAGCGCGACCTGGAGGGAGGGTCTTCGCCAGGAGAAACCCGCCGATACGTTTTTATTTTCACGAGGAGCATAACTCCCCGGCCGAGTGCTGCGGGAGGGAGGTGAGGGCAAGCGCAGGGCCCGGCCGCACGGAGGGCGCCCGCAGGCGCCAGGGGGCGCTGCTGCTGCGCGAGCGGCACCGAGGCGGGAGCGGGCCCGGGAGCGGGGCCGGGAGCGGAGCGGGGCCGCCGCGGCCGCGCAGGTAGCGCCCGGGCGATAAATACCCCAGAGCGCTGCGGGAGGCTGCGTGCGGTGTCCGCGGCTCCGCGGGCTGCTGGGGCACAGAGCGAGGCTGCGCCCCGCGCGCGCTGCCGCCCTCCAGCCCCGAACCCGCCGCCTCTGGCTCCTCTCTGTCTTTCTTCTAGCGAACCGCGCGACAGGTCCTGGCTCCTGGGCTCGATGTTGGCCCCACTGGACCGTGAAGGTCACCGAAGGCTGAGGCTGAGGTCGCATGGCCGCTTGAAAAAGCATCCTCTGGAG